TACTTTAGCCGGCGAGATGCCCAACGCCTAGGTACTAAGTCAAGGCGCATGCATGGACGGTTGCTTTTTGGCTATTTATTGTTGGCTTTTCTTGTTCCCCCAGAAACCTGCGAAACGGGACATTCCAATCAGGTTTCGGTCATCTTTTCCGTTTTTTCTTATTTACAGGTAGGTACTACGCAATGGTCCAGTAATCACACTCTGCACTGTAAATGGAAAATTCTACATCCAAGGGTTCACTCGCCCTTGAAGAATGGCAAAAACAGCCTCCCTTACATACAGTATCTGCTCCAGACGGGCAGACAAGTGGCTTGATTGCCTCTCCCTGGACATGGACATGGCGCCCCGAATGTGAAACACTGCCGGTGCCAATGGCTGGGGAGTACATGAACTCGTTTGTTTCGAGTTTCCAATGTCCAACAGTGCACCAGATCCGCCGCCGTGGTTGGACGCAAAGGTCGAGACAGCCGGGACAAAGGGTTGCACAAGGCACGAAACGGACCTGTACTGTGTACGGTATACAGTATCAACCCCCCCAAGTTTTCTCTACGATTTACGATACAGTACGAGAGGAAACAAAAATCAATTGTCTCGGTCCAATCAGGTCCGGGCATTGAGACATACCTGAGCACATGAAACGAAGAGACCCGGTCGCTCGACAATCTTGCGCAGGATCCGGCAGGTACTTGGACCAAGGGTAACTGTTTCTCGTCTCCCCCTCTTGGCAGCAACCGAGATGCATGGCGCACGGGGATGCGGAGGTACCAGCGCTCGAGGTACCGTCTGTCCAGGTCCGCGGCTTTGGCACTGTTGCAGAGAGAGGCCAATCTCGTCAAATCACGACATACATAGCAGAAAGTCTAATTAGCTGTACGAGTACCTTGACGGCCAACCGCACGCAGAGCAATCCTCGTATGTACATACCGTATGGCGACCCAATGTACTCCGTATGAAGCGCGGCTGCGTCAGCTATCATATACATGCCGTACAGCACAGTAGAGAATGAAGAAGGGGGTGGAGGAGGATAGCCGGTGTAATTTGGAGATGGAGGCTATGCACTGCCCATCTTTTCTGCCACCGGTCGAGGCACAGTGCTGTAGAGGTGTGTACGGTAAAACGGCGTGCGACAGAGGGATTGGCCAGAGCCTCACGCTTTCTGCTACCACTTGCTTCGTATCTTAGCTTTTTTTGCCTTTCGTCTAGCATCTGCGATCATCGCTACCACATTGGGGGACACGGGATGCGAGATGGGTACTAAGGTAGCTTCACTTTGGGCGCGGACTACTATAGCAAGTCGCCTAGCGTGAGGATTAAGCAAACAATACTCGGTATCAGCAACCAGTTTGATTGATGGATGGATGTCGTGTGCCCTCGACCCTGGATGACCATGTACGAGTATGACCCTGTACGATATCTCAGCGCTTGCTGCGGGCAAAATAAACGCGGGGACCGAAGCAGAAGAGACGATGCGCATCTCAATTGGTGCCACGCAGCACTGCTGTCGTGTTGTTGCTTTGCTTTGCTTTTGCTTTGCTTTTGCCTGTCTGTCTGTTTCGACTCGTCGTGCCGCGACGTGGACGGATGGCGATCCGCGGCCGAGATGCAGACAGACATGGACAGCGAGCGATGCTGCAGCACAGCAGAGAGAGCATGAATGACATGTACGTGCACTCGGACAGTACACGTACAAGAACCTACAGTACATGCGCGTGTGCGTGTGCGTGTATAATACAGTACATGCTCGTACTGCATCTCCCGAGACTGGCGATTGGCAGCGGCATCACATCGCATCGCATCGCATATTCGGGTCGCTGAGGGTGTGCTCCGGATTGCGGACTTGGAACTCCCAAGGATGAGTAACTCGCACCAAATCGCATTGATGCCCGTGCGGTGAAGACAGACGCTACTGTATGGTACTAGCACCACCCGCAAGGTGAAGATCAATAGGTGGTGACGATGCTGTCCAGTCCATACAGGTACCTTAGTAGTAGCACCAAAAATTCAATGCTAAGCTGCACAGTGGCCCAAAGTAGCAGCGGCACGGCCCAGTCACGCAGACCCTCGTCATTTCGTCGTCTGTGGGGACCGCCACCTGGCGTGACTGCGCTGCTGGACGCAAATGGAACATGAACTGGACCTCGACGAGTACATTCGCCCAGGGGGTTTGTCAGCGCCGACGAATTGGCATTGGACGTCTATTGGCACTGCTATTGGCACTGCTGCTAGCGCCGCGCGTCGCCGGTCGGCCAAAACGCTAACAGTTGCGACTTGCTGTGTTGGGAGGTGACTAAAACAAACCCCATCCGCTTCTCATTCCAAGCGCTCTGTTCGTCATCAACAAGCAGCATTACTACACGCGTGTATGACTATTACTGTATGGAGTTCCAATGATTGATGTTTACGTTGCCAGAACCGCCATGCGACTCGTGCAGCGATTCCGGCGCATGTTGTAAGAAACCCAAGGCATTGCGTGGTCCCATTCAGCGCACACCGATACGGGAGACTACCATGAAGGCATGCGGCCCGTCGAGATGTACCGAATCGTCAGTCTATGCGTGGCCTGATATAAGACCACATACGCATACATACATGCAGTCTGTAAGGTATGCTCGCTGCTGCACCCACACAAGTACTTGCTGTAACTACATATCAAACTCCGTACATGCGAGCAGCCTGCAGCGCAAAACTGCAGCCAACGGAGTACTCCGCGACTCTCAACCCGATTATGCCCTATCGGGTGCTCGTCCTGCCCCAGTACCTACCTGGTAGTCGCTGCACGCTTGTACCATCTGGACACCCGGTACTCGCCATCTTCTCTTGCGCCCAGCAGTGCTAAACTGCATGGCCCGGGAACCTGCGGTGCAAAAGCCCGCACGGTGCTCCGCAACCCGACCACGCGTGACTGTCTCAGCAGAGCAGAGGCCAACAAAGCTGGCGAGGCCGCAGCCGGAAGGAAAAAAAAAAAGAGTCAACGATTGGGCTCGTGAGCGCGCACGGTGCACGGCGGTCTTGCACTTGTACTCAGTATGCGCCACGGAGTACTTGCATGGGCCCCAAACACCGTGTACAAAGCCCAGAGCTCGTACTGATACCCAAACGTGCTGCAACGTGGTCCCCAGAGACTTGTGCCAGAGACTGCCTAAAGGCCAGGTGTGTGCCAGTGTGTGTGCCAGGACCCTGCGCCGACCGCCGAGTACCGAGTACCCCGTGTTCGTACCCAGGCAGCACCCGCACCGCCGCATGCCTGCCGCCGCCGGCCAGGTACCCAGTACTCGGCCAGCGCAATCCTCCTCCTACCAAGTCCAACCAAGCGCACTCGCACCGTACCGTACCTTTGGGCACTCGTGCTAACTGTACCTGTACCGACACCTACGCCTGTGAAGTACGAAGTAGCGCCCTGCAATAGCGCTCAATGGGACGCTGGTTAGCGGGCTAGTGCGCTGCCCCACCCCCCCAGCGCTGCTGCTGGCAGGTTCTCGTGGCTCTTGTGCACACCCCCGTGCTTCCACTCTCTTCCACCGGCCATTTACTCATCCCCAGTCTTCCCTTTTCATCCTCTCTCACCCTTCCTACATTACTTCTTCATTCCCTCCCCATCCGCATCTCTTCCTTCCCCCCTGGCACTGCTGTCCTCACCTCCTCAAAGGCCTTCTTTCTCCTCGAGCTCGAGCTTGCGTCTCCCTCAACTCCTATTCGTCGTCGCCGCCCCTCTGCCATTGCGCCATCCGCATTGACTTCCAGCAAACTCTCAATTCGCCACCCCGAGACGATCCGCTCGCAAGCCCGTCAACTATCCCGACCGATCCCCTGATACAGTCGACGAGAGAAAGAAGGGTCCCTTTGCCCTGCAAGATCCCCTACAGCGGTCCATCAGCGCCTTTGCTGTCTACTTGACATTCTCGGCGCCGCAACAAGCAAACCCATCTGTCAGCGTGTTACTGTCCCTGCCTGTCACTGCTTCGCCGCAAACTATATCGTCGCCGTTTCTACTCTTATTGCCTCGGCCCCCTTCAGCCTTCCCGCCGTTCTCGTCATACCACCCCCGGTCTCGGCCCGCACTCGACATCTTCAGTCAATCTCCATCGAGTCACACGGCGGATAAGGCACAAGCCTCTTTTCAAAACAGCGGCTTTTTCACCCAAAAGTTCTCCATCGGCTCAACTGCGCTCGCGGCTCCAGTACAATCTTCGTCGCCTTGATTGAGTCACCCCCCTTTCAGCGAGAGCTACGCTCCGCTTCCGGCCGCCAGTTTGGTTGGTCCGCTTCGTTGCTTCACTCTCCTTGACTTGTCACTCCTCTCAACACCATACTCAACTCGCCTACCTTGACCGACTTGACGGATCCGACCCTCGCCGTCTACTCAACTCCCCCCGATACAAGCAACCAATAATCATCACCAGTCGTTCATTTACGCACAACCTTCATAACGCGACCTCGATGCTATCATAACGAATCTCCCATCTCTTCTACACTTTCTTCTCTATACGCAAGCCGGCTTTCGGCATCTTGGCCACGGTTCTTCATCACTTCGCATCTCCTTTGTCTCTTCTTGTTTCCTTATCTCTTTTTTGAAATCTCTCAACCAATGCGCACCTGATAAAAACAACTACTAGTCTCCGCCAAAACATCTTCGCACCAACCAACCAACAAATTATCATACCTGGCTACACCTGTCGTCTCTCCTCTTTTCTTTGTCTTTACGGCTTGTACATTTCGGTCATCTGTTATTCGATTCTTCAACTGCTTTCTCTTTTTTTGAGCAGTCTTTTTTTTCGTCTCTTCTCCTTACTTCGCCTGATAGCAACCTTTCGTATAGAAACGTCGAACGCTTCTTTTACACAAAGGCTGCTTATTGATTCACGATAAAAGAGAAAGGCATATATCGTTTTTACATATCTTGTCACCAAACAAAACGCCTGTATAAATAAGTTTTGCTTGTCTTGTTTTTCGTCTTTTTTCATCTTATATCTTTATTTTTCCCCATCTCAACCTTCGTCAGCATGGAATGCTTGAGGAACAAGTTCACTGGTGGCCTCCTCCTTGATGGAGGTCGCTACCAGACCATCTCACCACTCAACCATGGCTCTTTCGGCATGGTCTTCATGGCTCAGGATCTCGTGGCCAACCAGGTTGTCGCCATCAAGTGCCTGACCAAGAAGTCTGCCCCCTGTGACATTGGTCTCGAATTCGCCGTTGACGACCGATCTGAGGAGTATGCTTTGCACAACGGCCTCGGATCGCACCCCAACATCGTCAACTTGCTCGACACGTTTGAGACTGATGCGCACGTCTACTTGGTCATGGAGTTTTGCTCTCAGGGCGACCTCTATGAGGCCATCCGCAACGGCCATGGACCCCTCGAGACCGAGCATGTTCGTCAGTTTATGCTCGAGCTGGTCGATGCTGTCGCGTTTATCCACTCCAAGGGAGTCTATCACCGCGACATCAAGCCCGAGAACATCTTCCTCACTCAAGATGGTGCCATGAAGCTTGGTGACTTTGGCCTTGCGACTACCGACAAGTGGTCTTATGAGACCACCGTCGGCAGTGACAGGTACATGGCCCCTGAGCAGTTCGACTCCGCCGGTGCTGGATACTCGCCCGCCGAGGCCGACATCTGGGCCATTGGCATCTGCCTCCTCAACATTCTCTTCTCTCGCAACCCCTTCACCACCCCCACCGAGTCTGACCCTCTGTTCCTTGACTTTTCTCGTGACAAGCAGAGCCTCTTTGATGTCTTCCCTAGCATGTCCCAGGACACCTACGAGGTCATCGTGCAGTGCATGAACATGGATCCCAGGAAGCGTTCCCTTGAGGGTGCGCGGGATGCCCTCCTTCGCGTTGTGAGTTTCACGACGGAGGACGAGAGCCTTGACGACTTTTGCGGTGCCGAGAACCCTACCGTGGCATCCGCTCATCGTGAGCCTCTTCGTACCCCGTCGATTCAAACCCCACACGTCGACGGAGGCGCTTTCCCGTGGACCAAGGCGCTTAATGAGACCCCTGCTCATCGCCGCCAGCTCAGCGCCATTCCCGATGACGAGAGCTACAGCGAAGACCTCTTCTCCAAGTCGGGTGAGACGAACGACTGGTGCTCCGCCTATGTGCAGACCCCGTCGTCTTCCATCTTGGACACGCGCATCATTGAGTCTCGCATGAGGGCCTTCAACATCACTCGCCCTCCCCAGCCCAAGGCCAGGGTATCTCCCGCTGCTGGATCTCTGCCCATTGCCATGGGCAAGCCGTTCCCTTCCATGGCCACCGTCTTTGGCATGCAGAAGGACACGGTTTCCAAGAGCTGGAGCGACATGTGGGATGAGGACGAGGAAGAGGAGCAGCAGGCGCAGCAGCGAGTCAACGCTCTCCAGGAGCTCAACTCGCGCACCTGGAGCCACGAGAGCACCAACGAACACTCGGTGCCAAAGACCGAGCCCGTCCTCGCGGCTCACGACATCAGGGGTGATGTGGACGATGATTTGGTTGCAGATGGTTTCTTTTTTCACGAGGCCGCGCCGCCCACCAAGCACCAGGCCTTTACTATCACGCCGCGCTACTCGCCTCCGTCTAAGCGCGGCAACATTGACAAGTGGGCAGCTCTTGGTGAGCGTCGTAGGGGCCAGAATATCAGCATGGAGCCGGAGAAAAGCCCCGGTTGGAAGCAGCGTCGTCATTTCGGGTTTGGATACAGCAGCAGCAACAATAACAATCACAACAAATATTATGAAGCGGGCGTTTGGGATCATTTTTCTACTTCTCACAATAACAATACTTTACACAACAATTATGGAAAGGGCTGGAGCAAGGATCGCCTCAAGGAAAATTCTTGGACTAAGGCCAAAGATTGGAACTGGCGCAAGGATAGGCGCACCGATCTGGGAGATGTTGAGTGGGTTGGTGGTTGGTAAGGGGGCCCTCCCCTTTTCTTGTTTGGGGCTTTCTCAACCACCAATCGTGGTTATCGCCGTCGTCGTCTTTTTATGTGCTGGCATGGAAGAAGACAAAACATCTGGGAGCAGTTAATTCTTAGAGCGCTTGGACCAGGAATCATGGAGAACGCGAAAACAAAACAAAATGGTTTGCCGTCTCTGCATTGAGCCCCCTTTTTTGCTTGGGGGATCTGCATTGTAGACGGGGATTTTTTTTTCAACACATTTGGATTCTTCATGGTTGGGTTACTTTTTGGTTAGAGTACTTTGAGGGGGCACTGCTTGCTACTTTGCTTTTGTGCCGGGGACGGGACGATGTAGGCTTTGACTCGCTTTCTGCGTATCACTTATTTAACATAATAAAACATAGCAGAGGTTACCCACTCACTTGAAAGTTTTCCATTGCACTGTGATGTATTTTGTAGGATTGAAGATGGGGATGGAAGCATTCCAGCTTACGTCAGTTGTGGCATGATGTTTGATGATCTTTATGAAGTACATGGAAATCGAGGTATGTCGTGCTGAGATGAGGAGTGGCTTGGGCTGATGTGTTGATGGATATTCGGGCAAAATGTATCTACAGCGTGTTTTGGGATCTAAAGTGCTGCCTTGGGTATTTACGTCAAGGAACAAAGTTGAGGAATGTCGTCGACTTGGAGATGTTTAAGGTGGGAAAGCTTATGCTTGATGGAAATGGTGATAAACGTTGAAAAGAGACGCTTGAAATGTTTCGAACAGCCTAGATGAGCAATTCCCCTTTGACAAGATGATAAAAAGGAATTGTATCAAAATGCTAGATGCCATAACCCCATGTAAAAAACACAACATATACCACGCCATGGATGGATATATATATATACAAAGGAAAAACACAAAAAGCAAAAAAAAACAACTCTGGTTTAAACGCCAATGAGCTCCTTTGGCAAAAACGTAAACACAGTACCGATAAGCCCAAACACGCCAAACACCACCAGCAAGCAGTACAGCACGAGGCGTTCTCTCGCCTCGACGTCCTTTGCGTAGAGCTTGAGGTAAAACGAGATGGGCAAGATGATGGAGATGAGCGAGCACAGCGCCGCGCCGAGGAATGCGCAGACGGAGTCAAATGCTGGAAAGAGGATGGATATGCCGAGCAGGATGAGGACGACTACAACACGCACCAGAGCCCTTTGACAGGATCTGACAAAGGCGGGTTTCCAGTCGTCGGTGCCGTTGGAGGAATGATGATGATGGTGGTGAGGGTGGTGGTGAAGGCCGCAGAGGACGTCGGCGGTGGTGATGAGGGGGCGAGCGTTGAGCGGGAGTTTGGTTAGGGGGATGATGGTGACGCAGATGCACATGAAGATGGTGAGGCCTTTGGGGAAGCTGGAGCTCCGGATGATGTTGTTGGTGATGGCCTCGCCGATGCCGTCGCCGAACATGAGCATGCCGACGATGGCGAGGCAGGTGTCTAGAACGTACTGTAGTTGGGGGGCGTTTGTTAGCTTGTCTTTAAAGTGATATATAGAGGGGATACACATACGGAAAACGAAAATGTGACGGCAACGCCTTTGCCCCATTTGTGAGGGTGGCGCATGTCTCGATAAATCTGTTTGTTTTTGCACCGTCAGAAACAAGAGAAGCGTAATGATGTAAAGTATGGGGGGGGGCTTCTTACTGAGGGAAATACGGAGTGAGCTCCCCATGGGCTGAGCATGAGGCCATATGCAAGAGGCAGCGCCAACCAATTCGTAGGGAAAAGGTGTGTAGCAGCGGGCTCCCACAAAGAGCCAGGGGCCTCCGTCTTGATGAGGCCATCAGCAATGACAACGCACACAACTGAGTGAGAGGGCACAAGTCAGTATTGATCGAAAACTGTGGATATGGGATACAAAGCGTAGGCTTACTGCAAAAGGTAGAAAAGATGCCAATGACGCTGGTGTAGCTCAGCCAGCGAAGAGGCAGAGCGTTGAGAATAAGAGTGATGGCGGCGCAGATACACTTCCACACCTCTACACTTGCCAGGCCGGGAAGCAGCAGGGCAAGCGAGTCGGAGAACAAGATGATGAGAGCGACACATGCGGCAATGAGCTCAATGGTGAACAAGGCCGACACAATGATACGAGCTCTGGTGCCAAACGAGACGTAGGCCAGGTCAGAGTAGGTAATGAGGCTGGCGTCGTATTCCATGCACTTGGCCAGCAGATTGGCCGTGTGTCCTGTGACGGCCGCAGTCACCGTGAGGATGATGAGGCCGAGAACCCAGCCGCTCATCTTAAAGGCCAGCGGTAAACTCAGCAATCCAACGCCAATGATGGCGTTGATGGAGTTGAAGATGGATTGGGGCAAGGTGCTCTGGCCGTCGACAGTCAGAACAACCTTGTTTCCCTGCTTCACCTCCTTGACCAGGATGGGCTGCTCCTCGCCGTAGGCAGCATCTTCTTCCTGGGCCGCCTCCTCTTCTGTCTGGCCCGGCGCCACTCGAATAATGGACGGTCGATGTCGAATGAGCGACGGGCCACCAATTGTACCATAACTGCGATATGAATCATAGCTACCAATGATGCTGGGCGTGGCCAGGTAAGGTGACGATCCAAATATGCTCGAACTAGAAAATGTAGCCGGCAGCGCGCCGCTCGCCATTTCCACGTCGACATGCTGCTTGCCCTCGCGCTCTCTGCCCTGCGAATCTACGATATTGTTGCTTGAGCCAGCAAAGGGACTCCCCACCCGCGGCGACGCCTCCGAGCGCCGGCCCAACCCACCATCGTCGCCGTCATCGTGACTTGTCGAGTACTCGAGATCCTCGCCGTCCATCTGCTGATCGGCCGCAAAGACGAAGCTCGGGCGCCGAGGAAGAACCTCTGGGAACGCGGCGGCGCGCTGCCAACTGCGGGCAAAGGACCTGAAGCTGTTGACGCCGCCAACATCTGCCATGGCGGCAAGACGGTCGGTGACGGAGGACCTGTGCAACGGAGGGAGGCTCTATCAGCAGGTTTGCGCAAACATGGTTGTCTTGTGTCTTGTTTCCCGTTCCTTGGTCAGCTTACCGTCTGCGCTCAATGTGTCGAGCAGCGGGATGCGCGCCACCATCGTCAGCGTCGTCATCGTCGAGCAGCGGTTGTTGCTCTGCAAAGGGGTTTGACGAAACGCTGCCCGAGGGCGATGCCACGCCGTCGTACTCGTCCCATGTGGTGGGATTTCTCGAGGGCGCCATTGGGGGGGGGGCTGAGAAGCCGCGGTTGGTGGTTGATGGTGTGTCTGTCCGCTGGTAGCCGCGTGGCGATGAGGTCGACTTTTTTCTTCTTCTTCAGTTCCGGATGTCTCTATCATGCGCGATCTGATGTCTTTGAATAAAAAAGAAGAAGAAGAAATAGCGGTGTGTTTCTAGAAGTGAGCCGACTCGTGCAGCGGGCAAAGAGCATCCAAGCAAGAATAGAATGGAGGAGAAAACAAGAGAAAACCAGATGCAAGCAAGATATTCCCCCCAACCGCGTGTGATCCCGAGATAGTGAGGGGTGCCACCAACCCCCCCTGGGCTCTTGGCCCTTCAGCGCAAACACCCCATTATCATGCGCTAAAAACACAAGGCAATGGGAAAACACGGTGAGCCATGTCAACTTGTTAGCTACTAACAGCAGGTCAGAGAGCCATGCTGTAATCAAAATGCTCACCTGGTCAAAGCTGGAAGACGGACGAAGAGAGAAGCTAGACGGACTAGGCTGGAGTTGGGACCATGGCATGGCCGCATGCATGGATGGGAGCTTATCTTGTTTTTTTATTTTTTTTTTATTTTTTGCGCAGCGATGGAGATGAAAGTGTGGGGAGGGGGGGGATGATGGTTTTGCCATTGGAGTACCTGGGTTTGTATGGGCGGAGAGGTGGTGTCAGAGGTAGCTGTCTGGGTTTAAAGTGAGTACATGTTTTTAGCATCTTGGCAGCATTAACATCGTCATCCGACATTTGACTGATGGACTGACCGGCAATTGACGCTGATGTCTCTATTTCTCTATTTCCTTTGCTTCACCTCGTTTATTTTTAGATATCATTCGTCTTCTCTTCTGTTTCAATCTCGATAACAGCCCAATCCATCTCGTTTCCTTTACACATCACGTCACCAAATCAATCATTCTTTATCAACCGTTCCATCAATCTCACATGATCCTCCCCCCCTCCACAGCACTAACAATCCCATTACGGCACCTAATCCACCCGCCCCAGCTCCCCTTATCAGCCACTATCAGCCGCAAATCAACTCTTATCTCACCAAAAAATAGCATCCATCTCAATCTCCAAACCTCCATCTTCAACCAACTCCACCATCACCACACAATGAACTCATCCCTCGCCACCACCACCACCACAACAACAACGACAACATCCTCCTCCCTCTCCCCCATCCTCCCCATCCTCAACGCCTTCAACCACCGCCACCACAACCAGCACCGCCTCGCCCACTGGTGGCCCGTCTTCCGCATCTTCCGTCGCACCATCCGCGCCCTCCTCGACGACCTCGCATCTTCCCGTCGCCGCGATGCCTCGTCTCCTCCCCCGCGCGCAATTTGGCTCAACAAGCACTTCATCTCCAGAGCATACATGTAATTTAAAAAAACGACCTCTCAATTAACCCCTCTCCAAAAATTTCAGTAATTGACTCGGGGGAATAAAAAAAACAGAGCCTTTTCACAACTCGCCGCAGACAACCAACACGCTCCCCTCGGCCTCCTCCTCCTCGCCATCCTCGCCCGCACACATACCGCACTCACCCAGCTTCTCGATCAGCCAACTATTCCTCCGCCATCCTCAAGCACACAAGCCAACGACATAAGCCAGGATAAAGGCGTCGCCATAGCTCGTCAGAAACCAGAGCGCCAAAAGACACAAGCCGCTATCCAACCTCCCTCCGATGAGCAACAAGGTGACAAGCTCGATCGAGATGCTACAAAGCCAATCAAGTCAAAATCAAAGGAACCATCATCAAAAGAGAAGAAGAAGAAGAAAAAGAACAAGGGAGACGCGCTATCCAGCCTCTTCGGCTCCTTGTCGTAACCAAAGCCAGCAACATTGTCCTTTCAGCCAGTCATGTTCTACATATAGATATATACCCCGGCTTCTGCCAACATTAATCAGCATTTTCAATATTCATGATTGAAAACAAGTTGACATCCGTTTTTTCCCATTGCATAAAAAGTTCGTTTTCATTACCAAAAATAAAAACTAAAAAGACACAAAAAAATCATCAAGAGAAACAAGGCCGACGAATTAATAAACCCTACTTGGCCTCCCTCATACCGTACATGTTCAATAAGGCTGTGCTTTCCCACCTTGTGCGCCAGCCTTTACTAAGTTGATAATAACCACTCCCTCCCCAATAATCTTGCCTCGTAACGCATATTCCAAGGTATAAAAGAGCAGTTTAGGCGGGGGGTGCGGGTTTTCTAACATCCTCCCCAAGACCATCCATTCTTCTCCCCAATTTCCAAACCAAGTCGTGTTGCTTTTTGGCCTCGTGGCGAGGGCTCTATTCGCGTATTTCGTTCTTTTCCACGTCTCAAGTCGCGCTGGAATTGAGTCAAGCACGATCTCGTCGCTCTGAGTGCCCGGGTTTCCGGCCCTAGTATGGGCGGTAGGACCAGATGCGAGCCTTCATGTCGCCTGACCCGGTTGCAAAGTAGCCTCCCTGCGGGCTTGGCGCGACGGAAATGACCGAGTTCTTGTGTCCCTGAAGCATGAGCTGGGTCGTTCCCGTTCGGGGATCCCAAAACTGGACGCCGCGGTCCTTGGAGCCGGACAAGACCCAGTTGGCGTCGGGGGTCAGCGCAACAGACAGGACAAAGTCTCGGTGACCCTCAAACGTCTTGACGCACTTGCCACCCTTAGTACCAGAGCTGGGAGGGCCACGGGGGGAGCTGAGCTCCCACATTTTAATCGTCCGGTCCAGACTGCCGCTGACCAGATCCTTGCCGTTGGGCGAAAAGGCTACTGAATAGACGGAGTCTTTGTGCCCATCGGGTCCTTCCAGTCGCTCGACCAAGAAGCCAGTCATAATGTCCCAGACTCGAACGCTCTTATCCAAGGAGCCGGCGGCAACAAATTGCGTATCAGGCGAAATGGCAACGGTGGTAACGCCATCCTCAATCGTCAGAGTAAGGGTGTTGGTGCCCTGCTCAATGTCCCACAGACGGACGGTTCGGTCGCCACTACCCGACGCGATGGTGCGGCCATCACGCGCAAAGTCGAGCGAGTAGATGTCTTGCTCGTGGCCCGAGAAGTGGTTGCGAATGGTTCGGGTGGCGATATCCCACACCTAAAGATGGAAAACAAGGTCAGTGTCTAGAGCTGTGTGGAGATTGGAGTCTGCCAAGCTTTGTTTTGCTTACCCGGATCAACTTGTCCTCGGCACCAGTGGCCAGGTAGCGGCCATCGGGGCTGAAGCAGACGCTTCGAATGTAGAGATCGGCGGCCATGTCGGTGGCGCTGTGGTCCTCCAAGACGCACACCTTTTCGCCCGTCTGGACGTCGAAGATCTGGGCCGACTTGTTGCAGCCAGTGGCGACGTACTTGCCGTCGTGGCTGAAGCGGACGCAGCACACGACGCTCTCGTGGGTCAGAGAGTGGACCAGGTCAACGTCCAAGACGCGCTGGACCTGCGGGTTGAAAATGGCATACCAGTCGTTACCTGTCTTCTTGTTGTGGGGAGCGACAGCGTCGACCTCGAGATCGCCCAGAGCATTGCTGATGGGAGGGGGAGGGGCTCGGGGGTTCATGCGAGCGTGGTCGGGGGTCGGGTGGCTCACTTGCGGGGACTGAGCATTGCCGGGATACGGCACGGGGGTGTTGATCTGGGGGGTAGCAGGCCCGACGGCACCCGGAGGACGGGCCATGGCTCGCCGGCCCGGACCAGGCGAGGCCGTGCTCGGCGGAGGCTGAGGCATGGTGTTGGGGGGGTAGGCCTGGTACGGCGGCTGCTGCTGAGGCTGCTGTTGTTGCTGTTGCTGCTGCTGCTGCTGTGCGCTAGGGTGAGGAGGAGCGACGGGCAGTCCTGGAGGGCCTTGAGCCATCTGGTGATGGTGAGGGCCCATTTGCTGCTCCTGGGGAGGAGCCTGAGGCTGGGGCGGAGCAAGGCCTCCCGGGTTGCTGCCGGCCATGATGCCGCTGAAGAGGCCATTTCCGGGCGCAATCGAGGGAGGCTGCTGAGAGGGCCCGGCGTGCTGAGGATGTCCCTGGAGGCCAGACTGCGGAGCTCCCTTGCGAGCAATTTCGAGCTGATGTCGCAGCGCGTTGATTTCTTCCTCATACCTGTAGGGAAAGACAGATGCGGTTAGCGCTGCATGAGAGACGTGTGTCCATGTAGGACGTTTGCTTACTTTTGCTTGAGCGTCATGTGGGTTTGCTCCATGGCATAGACCTTTTCTCGCACCAGCTGCATTTCGCTGACCTGCGCGGAGACTAAAATTCGCCCTGTTAGCTCAGAATTTCCATTGCTTGGCAACCTTGATTGTTTTCTTCTTTCTATTCTTCTCCCTTCTTTTTCTCTCTCTCCATCTTTCCCCTCCTCTTCCCTTCACTTGTAGTTCCAAGGTTTAACCTTGCCATAGCGCACGGTAGGCGGCGGGGAGGGGGGGATCTGTAGTTGCGAGGGAAGCGTACTCTGATGCTCAAAGTTTTCACTCTGACGCTGCTGGCTATCGAATTCGGCCCTGATTTGCTCCAGCAGCTCGTTGAGACGAGCGTTGCCGGGGGGCACAGCGCCCATGCCGCGATGGGAATACATGGACATGATTGATCGAGGCGGGCTGAGTGATTGAAATAGGAGGCAGGGCGACGGCGCGCGGCGCGACAATCGATCGGGTCGGGAGGTGATGCAAGAGGCAAATGTCAAGCGGTTCCTGAGGCCAACTGTCGCCTCGATCCGGAGATCAGCAGGCGGGAGTGCCGGAGTGCCGAGTTTCTCAACGAGGCTCTCTCGAAGCCGCGAATCGAAAAAATAAACACCCCCCAAAAAATAAGACGATGTTTTTAAAAAATTCTAGCTCGACCCGGCCGAGGCTGAAGGAGCAGAGGCGAATGATGCAACGGGCGGGCGGTGGGAGGAAAAGCTCGTGGCCAAGGCCTAGGAATCGCGCGTCCACAGAGCGACGGGACGTGATTCGAGGCGTGGAGGTTTGGTCCAAGGAGAAGGAAAGAGAAAAAGGTGAGAGGAGGAACTTTGGAGGTACAGCGTCGCGGCTGGGGGAATAAGGTAACTCGGTGGAGCACTTGAAGCGAGCAGGCTTCTCGTCTCGGGGCTCGTAGCCTGACCACAGGCAGCTGGGGGGGCTTTTTCCAAGGGGGGCGCCTCGTTGTACATGCAGCCCAAGTCCAGACGACCGCCGCATGTACCTGGCGGTACTTGGGGCACGGGCCACTGCACGCGCATCCACGCATCCACGCACCCACGGGGGGGGGGGGGGACTCCAGCGGGACTCCAGCACCCACATGAATGTACAGGCGACAGGGGCTGCATGTACTCCCGCTAGCCGGGCCCTCCAAAGTGTTCTGGCACAGCCGGGCAGGGGCGTGGGAGGTGGGATTTGGGTAGGTGGAAGCTCGGGCCATTTCTGAATCTGCCCTTGGGATTGGGTTTCTGCCGGCTTCTTTTTTCTCTTGGGGGGGCGTCTGGTTTCTTTTTTAGGGGTGTGCAGTAGCGCGGGCTGGCATGGGATGGGGATGGGGATGGGGATGGGGCATGGCATCAACGAGAGTCGCGGTGCTACGAGAAGAGAACTCGTACCGACTAAATGAGCGGGTAGCACAGGTACGAGCACTCGTAGGTGGTTACCGTGCGTAGAGGTGAGTGTGTATGAGTACTCGTACTCACACCTCTGCTTCACTTGGGGTCACACAACGGACAAGAAGAGCACAAGTGAGTGAAGTCTGTTGCACGGCAATCAAGGAGCAGAGTAGACCAGACCAGACCAGACCAGAGTAGAGCACGCCATGCACATGCACACACACATGCACGGGAGAGACTCATAGTACTCTAGTGTATGCCAAAACCTACAGTACCTTAGTTGGGGCGATATATGTGAGGTAAGATAAAACTCCATACCACAACCACCTGCCATGTACCTTAAATAATGGGGTTGAATAAATCAGATTGACGCTTTTCGGGGAGATATTTGACTTTTGCTGTCTCTTCCGGTGAGGCGGCGCGCTCACTCAAGCCCAACGCAGCACAGAGACGTACCTAGTATATACTTGCTGTAACCCTCTCATCGCCATCGCCATCTGTATTGTATCTGCTGGTCATCACTCCCCCCGTCCAGTATTCCGTCCTTCCGTAATCAAAGCTCCGCAACCCGCATGTACCTGTAAGCGCCTTTCAGCCCCCCTTCAAGCGCGCCCCCGTCTCCTCTTTTACATAGTACTTGTACTTGCTCATTATCCTGGCTCCCAAATCCGCCGCCCGTTCCCCAGCAGCAGGGCCGGTGCAGAGGCCCAGCCCGGCACGGTGGGGCCCAGCTTAGCCCTGATGGGCATCTGCACGGCGAGGGTTCACGTTCACGTACGAGTACAGTATGTGTACTGTACGAGCATCGTACCCGTACCCATCGCGGGCTTCACTCGCCCTACCTGGCTTACTAAGGGGAAAAGGCACTGTGCAACCCCGTCAATGCCCACATCGTGACTAGCACCAACACCAACCTGGTACCAACCGCTCTGTCTGGTTCCGTCACAAAAACGCAGGGATGCAAAAGCGGGCTGCAGCTTGTGGGGCCCGGCACCACCAACGGGGATCCACCCGGTCCCAGCGCTGACAAGGGGCTGCTGGAGCGGGTCCAGTCCAAGCCCAACACCAGCCACAACCCAGCCAGCCCGTTCCCCATGATATTCTACCTGCTGCATCGCCCAAGGGCTCTACTGTACTCTGCTCTCTGCACTGCACCCACTTGCGGCTTAGGGCCCTGTCCTTGGTCTTGGTCCTCCTTTGTCGATTCAACTGGACTGCACGGTGGTTTTTTGTTTGTGATGATTTGTACGACACGATACGCACGCACATACGCACGCACGCACGCAGCACGTCGAGGCCCAACCCGGTATCCGAACATTGATGCGCCATGTGCACTATCCGAACTCGCGATTCATCCATTCCTTTCCCACGAGCATGAAGCATAAAGTGTCCGGCCAGAGGTGAGTCAAGGACGGTTGAATCAGACAGAGATAGGTTGACACCTTGCCCCTGAAAAAAAAAGAGACGCTGGGCTTAGCCGAGCTGAACTCGGTATAAGACAAAGAGCCGCCAGACACAGAGCAGCAATTCATTCTCCTCGCCCTCCCTCTTTTTTTCCTCTCTTCACTATTTTCCTTTTTCTTTTTCTTATTTTTTTTTTATTCGCGTATCGGTCGTTTGACTCGGCCGTTTGCATCCAGACGCTGCCGCTTCCTCTTACTCGTTCACCCGCGCGGCACATGTGTCTCGCAACCTCTCCCCCCCCCCCCCCCCCCCGGTCAGCCACATGAGGCTGAGGACCGTCGATGGAAAGATTGTCTTGGCAGCCTCGTTTGCCTGCTTCTAGATCTTGGGTTGTGTGCTTGCTGTGGCCGGATACGTACTCCGTGCTTGATGCTCTTTTTCCATCCCCCGCTTTTCCCTTTTTCCACTTCCATTTTTGCCTCCTTCCCGCCCCCCTTGCTGCTCGAAATACCACCACCCATGCTTTCGTGTACTGTATGTATCTTCTATCTGTGAGATGAAGCTTGATTTTCTCCCGACATGTGCGTGTCTTTAATCTAGTCTCCCCTGGTGGGACTGGCCATCTGCGGCTTACTGGAGGTGGTGCCCAGCGATCCTACCATGTAACAGGTGTCATGTGTATGCACGCATGTCTTGGATGGCTCTTTTCACGGGCCGCCATCGGGCTCATGGCACATACGATACGCATACCTGTACAGCACCCAAGAGGGCAGCCCGTGCTTTTTTCGATCATGGCTTGTGCTTTAGGAGTGCTCGTTCCAGGGTATAATTAGAGGCGGGATGAAGTCTGCTTTTGGGGCTGTCTAGCGGGTAGCGCCAAACAGACCAGGCATCAGACGCGTTTGTTTAGTTTGAAGCCATAGGTGTTAAACTCTGGCGTGGAGTCTGCAGAATCTGCGTACCTAGAGCGGTTGAAATCGTTCCACTGATAGTGTCCGCGTAAAGAAAGCATTGCCACCACGTTGTCTGCATCGGACAAAAAGCACTCATGGGACCTTGGGATGCCTTAGTGAGATAGATAGGTACATGCATGTACTCCAAGTCTGGTGTGCCATGGTGCTGTGTGGTTGCACACCTGATGGCCTGCGCGACCGCCATGACGTGGGTATCGGAAACAACTCCTTTTTGCAATAGTCAACGCCACACAAGCTTGTGCGAGCATCGCGATCCGCAAGTGAAAATGGCTTCGTTGAGATCGAGGGCCTCGTGCTGGAGCTGGCCCATCCACTTACCCTACAAGAACTCGACTTGACTCGATTTCAACCCAACTCCGGTTCGGAGCAGGTGCTTTTGTGTACTGCACATGATGCAATACGCAGCCCAACTACTAAATTGCACACAGATAACAAGGGACCATTTTACTGGTAACAGCCCAGTGTCACCGCGGTTGGATTGGCTACAACATTCATTGTTTGTTTGTCTGTCTGTCGGTTTTCGACACGCCTTGATGCAAAACACATTCGCTGCCGACGATACTCCGCCGCCCGCACAAACTGCATTTCAAGCATCAATCTCAAACAAACCCCCTAGCACAGGCGCTATGCCACCCGGCAAACTTTCCCAAAGGTGCTCAAGGCTAGGGTCGGGTATCTACCCGCAATTAATCCCAGGCACAAAGGCGAAAAGAATGGAGGTGCTTAAGCTGGGACTGACACCTGTGCGAGTACAAGTACCTACATAAGCTGGCTGGCCAACATGCCGGGCTCATGCCGAACCCACCGCGAAGGAGATACTGTCATTCTATGTGCTAAGTTTGGACCCGGACGTTCGGCAACCGTGGAGCAGGGGCAGCAGTTCGGGCACGAAGGCATATTGACTTTGCCATTAATCACGCAGTCTCCATTGACGGAGTGGCATCAATTCCTCTCCACATCGTTGACGCCATGAGCCGACGTGATGTGAACTTTGTTAAAGGGGCGGGGACGGGCACATTTGAGTTGTCAAAATAAAAGATAGCATCATGATAAAGAGGTTATTGTGGGAGGTACGTCTTGCAGAGTACTAAATGATACCGGCAGATTCCGATACTTGGGACGTGTATGTGAATTGAGTGAGGGAGGGAAAAATGAACCTTAGCATATCGCGTTCCCCAACGAAGGGGTCTGGGTGTCATGGCATTTGCGCTGTGCGATACTGCAACCCTACTGCTTATTCACCCGATCTGGACAAAGGCAGATGGTACAGGCATGGCGGCAGCGTGATGGAGGTGGTGCCTGTGGCCCAGTTGGTTGTGAGTGGGATGTGATGCATATCGAAAACGACGCTTATTAGTAGGGGGAGAGTGTTTGAACGCGATGGAGGTTGTCCAGCCGAGTTGAGAAACAGTGATGGATGCGTGCTCAGATTGATTGCTATTACGAGAACTCGGCGATGAAATAAGGTAATATATGTTGACAGTTGAGCGAGGCCTAACACGGCGAAAGGCCGTTGGTACTGTATCAGTTAGGCTGCGATATACGACACGATACGGTAGTAGCGGTCAGAGCGTCAGTGTGAGTGGGAATGACAGGTTGATAGTACGGAGTATTGGCACGATAAAACCGAAGCTGCCCTCGTTGTCGACAGCGAAATGGCCTCTGATTTGCCTGTCCAATCCGAAACGACGGAGAAGAGAAATGGAGGGGAATGCTGCAAGGATGGAAGATGAAAGCCCCAATCTCGAGGATCAACGTCGTGTTCGTGTTCTTTATCGATACGAATGCGATCGCCGGGCCCCGCAGCGGGACGCGGCTTACCTAAGGCGAACCCGCCTATCGACGTTCGCCTTCTCAGGCACCATCCGTTATATCAGCACATTTCAGTCTCCTCTCTGGCCACTTCGGCTCCGCTCGGCGGTGCAATTTGGTGCGCTGGACTCGGAGAGCCGTAGATGTTCGGACATTTCTGCGCTGCGAATCAGCAAATCAGACCACCCATTGGCGCCGGGACGTTGCTGGTCCGGGAAAGGGGGGGAGCGTGAAATGGCAGTGTGAGTGTGAGTGTGAGTGTGCGGGATACATGGGCGAACGAGGGAAGATGCACCTCATGGCTGCGATATCCGGGGCCAGCTATATAAAGAAGAGAGCCTGGCAACGGGGGCTTCTATTTACCATTTACATTGCATTGGAAATCAGGTTGAAATCGGTGAACAGTTCCTTTTGCCTCTTCAATCTCTGCTCTGTTCTCTGCTCTCTCCCAATTGACGCAACGCAACGCAAACGCGCAAACACCATCATCTCCATGACGACAAGTGGCGACCCTCGACAATCGAAACTTATCTGATCGATCCCTTCCCCCCTACTAAACCAACTAACCTTCTCTCACTTAATTCCACGTTTGCGCCGAACCTCAATCGGGATCCGCGTTGCACCCCTGAACTTGCTGCCCCGGTTTTTTATTTTTTTTTCCCTCTCTCATCTACTGTATCCTCCCCCAGACCATCGCGTATTTAAATTGGCCCTGCTGCCGCGAACTCGACCGGGCTGCCCGCCATCTCCGAATCCGCGACAAAAACACTCGCGTCGCTCTCGAGTTTGCTGGCACTTGGACTCTAGCATTGGTTTCGGTTTCCTGCTTGCCCACCATGGATGTCGTGCTCGAGCTCACCGACACCTTCATCGCCGACCACGCCTACGCCTGGCTGTTCCCTCTGCAGCCGGCGCCGTACGACTTCCCCAAGGCCACGGCCGCCAATGCTTCGGCCGCCTATTCGTCATGGACTTACGAGCCCGCGACCAAGTATTTCCAGGTCCAGCCGTATCCCGCTGCCTACCTGAGCTCTCTTCCCCGAGATAACGTCTGGCGCCAGTTTGCGACGCTCTACTTCATCACATGGTTCGTGCCTCTGCTCTGCTCTACTCTGGATCTCGACTTTGGAATGCGGTCGCCAGATTACAATCACAGCTCCTCTTGGTGGACAGACAGTCTGGCTAACACCTTTGCGCTGTTAGGATCTTTGGCCTCATCGTCTACTTCATCTTCGCCACCCTCTCCTACGTCTTCATCTTCGACAAGCGCACCATGCAACACCCCAAGTACATCAAGAACCAGATCTGGCTCGAGATCGTCCAGACCAACAAGTCGATGCCCTTCATGTCTCTCCTCACCGCGCCGCTCTTCTTGCTCGAGGTCCGCGGCTTCGGCAAGCTCTACGACATCACCTCCGAGGGCCCTGGCCTGTGGTACAACATCCTCCAGTTCCCCCTCTTCCTCGTCTTCACCGATTTCTGGATCTACTGGATTCACCGATACCTGCACCACCCTTGGGTCTACAAGTACCTGCACAAGCCTCACCACAAGTGGATCATGCCCACGCCCTTTGCCAGCCATGCCTTCCACCCCGTCGACGGCTTCATGCAGTCCATCCCTTACCACGTCTTCCCCTTCATCTTCCCGCTGCAGAAGATGGCCTACGTCTTCCTCTTCGTCTTTGTCAACTTCTGGACCATCATGATCCACGACGGCGAGTACCTCACCAACAACCCGGTCGTCAACGGCGCTGCCTGCCACTCGCTGCACCACTCCCGATTCGAGGTCAACTACGGCCAGTTCTTCACTGCCTTTGACCGCATGGGCGGAACCTACAAGATGCCCGAGGCCTGGATGTTCGAGAAGGAGGTCAAGATGTCCGAGAAGAAGTGGAAGGACGAGGCCAAGGAGGTCGACGCCACTGTCAAGGAGGTTGAGGGATCCGACGACCGGACCTACGTCCCTGATCTGGCGACCAAGAAGAACAAATAAGTGCGCGCATCATTTTCTCGCACACAAGTCTTCTTTTTGCGACGTTTTTACGACCATGAAAAGCCCCACCCCCCCTCTGGCGCGACGTTGAAAGTCGCTCTACGACGAGGTGCCTGATTGGTGCCGAATATTTTGTATAATCTGCCGCCAAATATTTTTTATTCTTACCTGCTGTGTACATAGTTGACAACATTCTATTGGGTGGATAATGAGAGGAAATCCCATGGCAATCATGGGGCTTCCATATTGGGTTGTTTTGTCAGGCATTTGGGTGGCAGAGGCGTTTAGAGGACATGGGATCACGAAAAAAATGTCTGTTGAATGATGAAGTTATAGTATATTTTCATTTGATGACTGATATCAAATGCACCGGCGTCTTTAAACCCGGTGATGTAATAATAATAAGGCATTTTCCCAAACTCCAGCTCGGACAAAAGAATGAAGAAACAAAATCCAAGTGACGCTCGTCTTGAGGAGTTGGGTCGTAGATTGTATACACCCACTGACTTGATTTCTGACCACCAGAATTTCTGCCTTGTGTAAGAGGACAAAGGAACAAGAGAAGAAGAATAAGTGAAGAGAGGACAATGAATGGATACGAGTGCGGCCAAGCGCGACAGGCAAAAAGAGGTCATGGAGAAAGAAACGAAGAGAGGACCAAAATAAAAAAGAAAAATAAAGATAAAAAAAAAGATAACAAGAAGAAAAGGCTCCGCGAAAGATGCTCCAAATGGCGAATAGGGATATTTGTTTATAAAAAGATTTGAGGCACCAGTCAAGCAGCGCTGTTACAGGTAATCGCTCAACGCTCATGAGAAGCTGACAAATTTGGGGTCTCTTGGTCGTCCGTCGGCTCCAATTCCGTTGGCCTTGAACTTGTTCTCCATGTAGACCTTGCGCGCCTGGTCAAAGGGCAGGCGCCTCTTCTTCATGATCTTGAGGATCTCGGCCTTGCTCTCGTCGTCGAGGCCGGCGCGGCCGTCGCCATCCTCGACGTTGCCGCTGAGGTCAAACGTGCTGCTGGAGAGGCCGGCCTCGATGTCGCCCGCAAAGGTGGAGGGCAGGCGGGAGTAGAGGTGGTGGGAGCCCGGGAGGCGGCGGAGCCAGCAGGATCGCGTGAGGAAGAGCGCTGTGGCGAGGACGACGAGGGAGATGCAGACGGAGTAGAGGAGGTAGGACATGGTGTTTTTCTTTTTTCGGTTCAGTCGGAGATGTGGTTTTTGCTGGGTTGGTTAAAGGAGTGCGCGGAGAAGGAAACGAAAGAAAAAAAAAAGGACAAAAAAGAGCAGTAGTGCCGAGTTGTAGCGGAAGAGAGCCTTGAGAGTGCGGCGACTAGCAGATGAACCAGTTCATGGCCAGGCTGTTGCGTGGTGTTTAACAGGCTGTTGGAAGAGCCTCTTGGTGGAGGAATGATGGGAAACGGATTTGGTGAGGCCTCAGCTGCCGTCTGACGTGTTGCACGGCGGCTTGCAGCGAGTGGCTGTGCGGGATCCATTCAAGCTCCCTGCTCGCCGCATGTGGGTGCTTTGGGTGCCTGTAAGATTGAAATGATGGCGCCACCAGCCACACGGTCGATAAGGAACCGATAACGATGCGCTCTGGCCGCGCTAACCGCAATGCGGCAGCTAAGCGAGCCCACACTTTTTGCAGGCCGGAGTGTTTCTTTACACGCAGCGAGGACGGACAAGACAAACGAACCCTCGAAACGTCGCGAAACATCACAACCACTCGACTATCGACACAATGGCCGCTGCTACTCTGCCCAACATTTCCTCGGACCTGATCTGGGAGGTCGTCCGTGAGTTTTTACTTATTTCTCTACGCTTACCCACGGGCTCGGTTTGATACCGGGGCCAAAAAAAAAAACGAGAGCTCGAGAAGACGACGTTCGATGAGGCTAAATTGATGAAATTGGATAGGAAGCAACAACAGCTACCTCCACAAGACTGGTGCTCGCTCAAACGGCGGTGTCCAGTTCTCCCGCGACCCCCTTAACCTGACCAACGTCCACAGCCGAAAGGTACGAGATATCACTCTGATGGAAATGGACGAAGTGCACTAGAGGGGTGGGCTAACTGTTTGGAATAGTACGCTGGTTTCGTCAACGACAAGGTACGATGCATTCCGATCGAGCACGGTCTACGATGATAAACAAGGGCAAAGAATTATGTGGTTTGCTAAAACATGTTGAATTGATAGGCTGTCGGCATTGCCCCTGGCGAGAAGGGCGGCGTTGTTGTCACCAGCAAGAAGACTGCTGTTGCCAACCAGCCCAGCAAGTCCGCTGCCCAGACCTCCATCGGTGGCGGCAAGTCCACCCGCAAGTGAGTCGAAGCCCAAAGATTATGCGATATCGTGGGCAAGGGAATCTTTGTTATATTGACACAAATATGCTGTAGGACCTACAAGGCCGTTGCCAGCCAGGTTGCCAAGTCCGGCTACCGCGCTGACCTCCGCGCCGCTGCCATCGAGCGTGCCTCTGCCATCCGCCGATCCCAGCTCCCCGTCAAGGCCGACCCCGAGCCCAAGCTGAGGGGCAAGAAGGCCAAGGCTGCCGCCGCTGGCGAGTCCTAAATTGGGAGCAAGGGACTGAAAAAAATTGGAAAGGCTTTTGAGATGATGGGAGAGTTGGCTAGGCTGGGAGTAAGGGTCTGAAACGGCTTTTTTTTCAAAACTGTACATTTGGCCTGGTTTTTTTGTTGAAAGAAGAAAGAGAAAACCCCTGCCTTCAGAGGTTCGTTGTTACAGGCCGGAGCTGCAGCTGGATCCCGAAACTGTCGAGACAAGGAAGAAACTTTTCTACTGTGGTTGCCGATGAGGTGACTGCTTTGGGGGTTCGCAGGGAAGAGAAACAATTCCAGTGGATTCTCGCACAATGGCCCTCTTGTGATGAATGTGATGTGAGACTGCATGTAGTGATTGATGCGTGGCTTGAGATGTATTTCCGGGGTTTGGGATTTGCCGGCTCTCTTTAGCTATGATGTGAGCATTTCTTGGGAAATTACAATGTGATTACAATGCCATTGCATCGCCACTTGGTTCTGCAATCCATGTCCTCCGAGTGCCGTCGGAGAGAGCCAGAAGCATATCCGGCTGATGCTCCCGGAAAGAAGAACAAAAGTCGGCAGCACTTTATTACAATAGCTCGTCAAACGCACAAGTATATAATTATATAAGCATTAATCACAGACGGACAAGAAGTCATTCACGTCACATCCAATTCCGATCTCACACGACCCCCTTTGAAGCTCGGCTACCTTACCTGGCGCCCATCCGCTCCGGCCCGGCAGACCTCGGAATCAGCGGTCCCTTGCCTCTCCGAACTTGGCACCCCCCTTGAGCCGTTGCGCAATCACAAGCCTTTATTCTTGCTGGTTTTCATTCTCGGGACCTTGCAGTGCGGGTCGGAACATGACGGGGGCCGCGGTTCATTCTCGAGATTGCTGGACGATATTTTTTTTTGCTGACGGGATTATTATCATAGCTGTTACCAATTGGCCGTTATAAGAAATATACAATGTGCAGTGTCAGGCTGGGTTTTGCTGTGTCCCGATTGGCCGGCCCCCCCGTGTCATCGGCGCCGAAGCAGGTAAATTACAGCTACCTGCAGTGATACCAGCCAAATAACACCGTCCATAGCAGCCTCGAAGGTAAAAAAAAACGCTTTGGCAATAGGCGGCCCCTCCCGGCTGTCCATTTACCCCTCCATTAGCCTTCCAGGTTCACACACAGAGAGAAAAAAAGGCCGCCTGAAAGCAGTGAGTGGAGGCAATTTGGGAAATATAGCGCCGAGTCCCTGCGGCGTGCAAGAGCCATCCCCAAGGGTACCTTCTTCCCCGTCTTACGCAATTCCCTCTTGCAAAAAGTATATCCATCCGCTCTCCATCTTCCGAAACTTTCTCTCTTTATTTTCTCTCCAAGCTTTCATCTCTGGATATCCTTTTTTTTTGAGCATTCTTCTCCCCTTTACTCCTCCACAGACTCCCCTATAAACCGCTACTATGGTTAAAGCAGGTATTGCTATTACTGTCCTGGAGGCGCGCGCACTGAAGTTGCCCCTCAACCCCGCACCACGGCGACGTGAAGCTGTCTGAAGGAGCTCGCGTCATTGAGGTGAACATGGACTGTGGGCGAACGTGATACTGACGGTTTGCGAGATAGTTGTTGCTGGTGCCTCAGGAGGTATTGGACAGGTATGCATTCCTCTGCTCTGATTGCGATTGCGATCACCGTCTTTGCTTTCATCCAGCTAACAGCGCATGTTTTTTGCGACGTCCAACAGCCCCTGTCCCTCCTCCTCAAGGGCAGCCCTCTCATCGACGAGCTGGCTCTGTACGATGTTGTCAACACCCCCGGCGTTGCTGCCGACCTTTCTCACATCTCCTCCCCCGCGGTAAGCTCTCAGCTCCCAGCCTCCAGCTCCGTCGTCCTCGTGGTCTCCCGACTCTCCGCAGCGCCGACAGCCACCTTGCGAGCTTTCCCTTGGCCCGACTTCCGCTGCAGCGCTCCAGCTCACTAACGCCGCTGTGTTTGAATAGAAAGTGACTGGCTACCTGCCCGCCAATGACGGCGCAAAGGCCGCTTTCAAGGATGCCGACGTCATCGTCATCCCCGCTGGCATTCCCCGTACGTGCTGCAACTCATATGACTACTACAAAGATCTAGCTGGGGCTGGCTCAAAGCCTCGGCATGTGATTTGAATCCCGAGTGGCCGCTGCTAACGCTGCCATTGCTCACAGGCAAGCCTGGCATGACCCGTGACGATCTCTTCAACATCAACGCCGGCATCGTCAAGGGCCTCATTGAGGTCATTGCTGATGTTGCCCCCAAGGCCTTTGTCCTCGTCATCTCCAACCCCGTCAACTCCACCGTCCCCATTTCCGCCGAGGTCCTCAAGGCCAAGAAGGTCTTTGACCCCAAGCGCCTCTTTGGCGTCACCACTCTTGACGTTGTCCGTGCCGAGACTTTTGTTGCCGAGATTGTCGGCGAGTCCCAGCCTCAGAAGCTCACCATCCCCGTTGTTGGTGGCCACTCTGGCGAGACCATCCTGCCCCTCTTCAGCGCCGCCCAGCCCGCTGTCAACATCCCTGCCGACAAGTACGACGCTCTTGTCAACCGTGTGCAGTTTGGTGGTGACGAGGTCGTCAAGGCCAAGGATGGTGCCGGCTCCGCCACTCTCTCCATGGCATATGCTGGCTTCCGGTAAGATTTCAACTCGGCCATTATTTTTATTCACTCCTTTATAAGACACAAATATTGACACACAAAAACTTAGATTTGCCGAGAAGCTGCTTCGTGCCGTCAAGGGCGAGCAGGGTCTCGTTGAGCCCAGCTACGTCTACCTGCCCGGCGTGCCCGGAGGTGAGGCTGTTGCCAAGGCCACTGGCGTCGACTTCTTCTCCGTCCCCGTCACTCTTGGAGTAAGTTTACACTTCCGCCCCGTGCTTGATCCCCAAAAAAGACGTGTGTTGGCTAACTTTGAACCCAGCCCAATGGTGTGGAGAGCGTGGCCAACCCTCTTGAGAAGATCACCGAGAAGGAGAAGGAGCTCCTGGCAAAGGCCGTCGAGGGCCTCAAGGGCAACATCCAGAAGGGCGTCGACTTTGCCCACAACCCTCCCCAAAAGTAAATACTTTTTTCCTAAACATCCATCCTGCTGGTAGCTGTTCAAGTGTCGAGGGAGCCGGTCTTGAGGGACAATAGCTATGACTACTGGGTATAACGAATATATACGCGTGCATAAGCAAGGTGGCTGATGATTTGCTTTCTTTCATAGGCTGTAAACTGTCCCCAGAATCTCTATTCCCATGCGAAGCCCTTTTCCCCTCGGGACAGCTTCTCATTCTACATTGATTAGTCCACTGCTAGTTGCGCTTGGTTGAGTTGGAGGATTATTCGGGAGAAGCATTGGACGGACTTGTCGTCGTCTATTCGCACATGGGAGTCGTCCCATCCATCTTTTCGCTCTCCATCATTTGGTAGATTTGAATCGGGGCAATGTTATCTTTATCGACATTCGGTTATTATGGCTTGGCGGCGAGGGTCTTGATCTGGAAGATGGCTGCTGGTAGCTCGTTGACCTCGGCTTGAACGGTGGCGCTGATACCCAGGGCAGCCAGAGCGCCGCGAATGATGCCGCAGGGAAACCATAGGAACTAAGCAAATGCAAGTTAGTTTAAGCTCGTCTATTCGAACCAATGTTGGACCGTGCGACGGCTGGATCAGAAGGGCGCTTGTTTGCGCTCTGTTGTGTGCATGTGTTTGTGTGACGTACAGGCTGTGCGCGGAGGACGGCTTGGCTGCCGGTTTCTGTGCTCATGCGGGAGAATGGGCGGAAGGCGTTGTCGGTGAGGACGTAGACTCCCTAGATTGTGCGCACGCGCGGTGTAAGTTTGACTTTTGAGTTTTGACTCTGTGATGTGTGTTGTTTGTTTGGGGTTGCAAGTGTGTTGTGTGTGTGGGAGACGTACGCGGTGGTTTGTCTTGAGGTTGTCAATGTTTTTGCCAAAGACGAGGGACCAGAGATCTTTGCAGAGGAACTTTATGACGTCGAGGGTGTCGTTGAAGCGGGGGCGGTCGCGGGAGAATCTGTGTTTTTTGGGAGGAAAGCTGGGAGTTAGCTTTATGTGTCTCTATAATTGCCGATTCGATTGAAGGGGGGGGGGGGGGGGGGAGACGGCGCGGGAGCGGTTGTTCAAAGAGAAGAGAGGAAATGAGGATTTGGTTTGTTGAGAGGGTGTACCTTTCTACGAGACCTTGGCCGACGCGATAGCCCTGAGTCTCGAGTCGCAAGTGCACCGCATCGAGGTGCTCTTCGTCGTCTATCCGCTTTGGTGAATCGGCGGGGGGATGATGCGCAGCGGCAGAATCGGATTTGCGATGCGAAGAGGAGCTGTCGATGTTGTTGTTGTTGTTGTCGGGGTTCTGGGTGGCGGAAGAGGGAGAGGAAGGAAAGTCGCGCTGGGAGGTGACGCGCTGGGCGAGCGGGACGAGCTCGATGAGGAGGAAGTCGAGGGAGGAGGAGGAGAGGAAGGAGGCGGATGGGTCGGTGGAGTTGAAGGGGGGCATTGGCGGGGAGAGGGACATGATTGCTTTTTATTTTGGAGGAGGAGAGAAGAATGGAGGAGGAGAAGAGGTGGGAGGGAGGTTGGTGATGTTTGGAGGTTTTGGTGGTGAGAGGGAAATGTTGCAGTTTTGATTTTAATCGATTACGGGCTTTGCGGTACAGGTACAGGTACAGATGGGGGGATTGGGTTGGGTATAGTAAGGCGTGCGGGTGTGGGGGTGGGATTGATGTGGTGGGGTGTAGAAGTAGATGTACATACATTTGCTGGATGATTTTGGGACGGCAGAATATGAGCTGACCAGCACTACTAGGTATTTAACCCTGCGTTTAGGAGTTGTTTCTCAAGATGGGATTGGTTCTGATGAATGGGACTGATGTTGCTTTATAGAACAAGACATTCAATGGGATGGCGAGTATTGGTACTACTTGGATATAAGCTGTAAATAGTACACAACACCACAGACGTGCTCAATCACAAAATATCCATATCCAGTTTCTTAACTCAACCTCTAATCGGTAAGTCGCCGCTGCTAGATAGGTAGCTAATAATCTAAGGTAGGTAGTCATACAACTTCACATCTTTCCTCCCCCTTTAATAATGAATAAGAAAAAAAAAGCAAACAAAAACTAGCATTGTACCGACCCTAGGGGAATCATCCTTTTTGTCCCTCGTCACACCCTAAACGCCTCTGCTGACTTGGTAAATCAAACTCCTCTCTCCTCTCGTCTCCTCTCTCTCCCCACGTCCCCTGGTATAATCATTCCGTTATGTATTGGTTTCGCTTTATGGACAACGCTCAAGACCTTCTCCAACGCTTTCGTCGGCGAGGCTCTGCCCGCGGACGTCTCGTATTCGCTGCTTCTAGACCACTCTCCTACGACGGATAGTTGCTGGGAGATTCGCTCAGGAACGGGAGACTCGACGAGCCGCGATAGCTGCTTCCTCCCGTGTGTTGTCGTTTATGCGGCCGCTGGATCGGCTCTTCGTCGTCGGACGACAGCGTCAGGTCGATAACTGCTGGCGCTGGTCGTTTGGCGCTGTGTGAGCCGGTTCGCGGGGCCGAGTGACCGTCTCTGCCACCAGAGCTCATCTCTGTGTAGGAGGTCATGTTTTTCTTGGGCGTTTCTATTCGACGACCGCTAATGCTGATTTCGGATACCTCCAAATCGTCATCGTCATCGTCGTCCTCGAGTGCTGCGCCATTTGGCCTGGATGATGTTTCCTCCTTGGGTGGCTTGCTAGACCATCGACCGTTTGGCTCAATGGTCACGGTTTCCAGGCTCTTTGACGTCTTTTCTAGAATGACCTTGACGTAGCTGGACGCTGGTTAGCAGATGACAAGAGTATTGTTGGATGAATGATACGCACCCATCAACGGCTAGCTGGTCAAACGGCGCTGATTTGTTGCAGATGGGACATAGCCATTGGGGACCTTGCTCCTGAAGCTGCAAGTAAGATGTTGCATCAAAGCATTGCAAATGTGTACAGCTTAGGCTGCGGCAAGGCACTTCTAATCTCATGTAGGATAGAGGGCATTTCAGGGATAAGACCTGAGACGTCGCCACCACATCTGGATCTTGTGCTATTTTATTCACTGCCCATAATCACGTTAGTATGTGTCGGGAGAGCGCCTCGTTCTGGAAAGACTTACGCTCAGATATCACCGATTCTTCAGAAATCTTTCTACGATTGGATATTGTCGTCACCAATTCAGGAACTGAAGTGGTCTTGCAAAGGTTGACGATGAGGTAGAATTTCTGCCGAGAACAGAATAGTATTAGCAGGAATTTTCAAGGAGGGCACATGTCTTGGGATCTTCAATTTCCAGAACCAGAGATTCAACTTACCCTGTTCGTCAGCGCATATGTAAACTCAATGTTGTTCATGTAATTTCCCCTTAGCCGGAGAGCGTTGGTTATGTCGACCGGCCTCGTTGAGCCGGGCTTGTTCTTGAGACCTCGCAGGTTAGCCTTGATCTCGTCGCCGTTTACCCGAAGCTCGGACTGGTGTGGGAACGCAACGTCTTGTACGCCGCTGTCGTCGCTGGCACAAAACACCATGATTCTGTATGATTTGTCCTCGTTGCATCGCTGCAAAACGGGGTGGTCGCTTAACCTCAATGGGATGGTGACAGAGTTCCTATGCTGTGCCATGGCTGGAGACGAATGCCACCGGTTAGCCGCAATTGCGATACCAGGGAACCAGGGAATTAGGGGTTCTTACCTTCACAGGTACGCAACGCACTCACGGCGCTTTCGACGAAATAGAAAGGGCTCGGCTTGAACGAGAAACTATACGTTCCATAAGAAGAGGCCGGCACTCCATTTGCCGAGACTTGTCCATACGCCCGTTGCCCAGAATAACTACTGGTGCCGTAGGATGACGACGATGACGCGGAAGTGGGCAGAGCAGGTTGTGCTATAGACCCGTTGCTTCTAGCCGTCACGGCCTTGGCGGGACTCGCTCGCTCTTGAAAGGCCCCGAGGATGCTCTGGCGGATCTGATGGAATCGCACAACATCGTTGCTGGTAACCGTTTCGTTGACCACTGTGGGATGCAAACAGAGGTTAGCACATATACAAGGTCTGAGATGGTGCCCGAGGCCGTGACTGCAGAGATGGGCCAAGGAGCACGCGAACAGTGTCGCGATCGGGGCGATGCGGAAAAGAGAGGAGACCTACGCTGTACGATGCGTCGTTGAAGCTCAGCTTTGACGCCGGTGCTCTTAAGCCCATTTAATTGGCAGATGGATGAGAGCTGTCTATTGAACAGAGAATTGCCCTGGACCTGCCTGAGCAGCGCGTTCACGTCATTCCGCGAAATCGACGTCATGTTGGACGACGCCATGGTTGCGTGATGGCGCGAGTAGAAGGTCGAGGGCAGGAATAGGGTTGCAGATGCATCAACGGGTGCGGACAAGTCGGGGGTCGAGTTGCGAGGAGAGAAGAATTGGGCTGATATGGGGAGAGCGTGAAGCGATGCGGACGTCGTTCGTTATCGGAATGCGGTCGAATGACTCTAGAACTCGGGGGCCGAAAGGCGATGGAAGAGGAAGCGAAATTGATGGGGAAACGGAGTCGCAAAGCAGACAAGAGCGGATTCTAGCCGCTGGACGGCGCAGGCGGTCGCTGTGAGGCCAGCTGCGATGCCGGCAGATGCCGCGATGGTGAGCCTGACGCAGGTTCGCGGGCGATGCAGGGCGAGGCAAGGCAAGGCAAGGCAAGGCAAGGCGAAGGGTTCGAGTTTATTATATGGGCGGTGCCGTGACTGCGATGGATTGGATTGGGTCGGCAGAACGCGCGGGTGATGCAGCGGCGTCCTTCACATTCACTCTCTCCTCACCCTCGTCGTCCTCGCCATCAGCCTCGGTCGCTTTTTCCAAGCAAGGACATGGTGCTAAGATAATGGAAGATAACTCGACGCTATCGCCACTTGACTTTTGGGCATCGGGCAGGCGGCGGCAGCTGGCAGAACCGAAGTGCCTGTGACTACGGCAAAATGAGACGCGAAAAAAGATCACCGGCGCATCAGCCACAGTTTTGCGACGATACGCCACAACCGGCGCCTTATCTTATCTTTTCCCGCCGTTATCGTAACTTTTCTTTCTTCTCTGTCCAAGACGAAGACGAAGACGAGCAACCGTTTACATCGAACGGCATAATCATAAACGGACAGACTCTAGCAATACCGCAATCATGGCTAAAAGTTCTCGATCGAGTAGCAAGAAATTCAACAACCAGCGCAAGGCCGCTTCCATCTTCGGCCCGGCTGAGACTGCCAGACAAGAGCGTCTCTCGGCCAAGCTGCTGGAGTTGGCAAAGCAGGCCAAACCCGAGCCCGCAGAGATGAAGATTGATGGTGAGTTTCTGGATATGCATAATGCGCTCTATTCTGCGCTTCTGGTTCTCTAACATTGCTTGGAACTAGATGGCAACAATGCACTCGAAAAGGAAGAGCAGGCTGGCGCAGACGAGAACTGTATGTCCCGCCCTCTCTTCTCTCCCCTGTGCCCCCAGATCGACCCGGCACTTGCTAACATGATGTGAAACGCAGCCATGGACGTCGACGCAAAGAAGCCCAACAGACCCTTTAGCGTCAAGAAGGGCATCAACAAGAAGAGGAAGAAGTCGGGCATTGTGTTCCCCAAGTACAGCGACAGACTGAGGAAGACTGCTCGAAATGCACCAAAGAAGGCGTAACTGATTGATTGTTAATTCTGGTTTCAATTTCTTTTTGGCTTCTGTTTTCTTAATCGTTTATACGGAGTACTCATTATACATATTGTCCTACATATCAGCTCTGCAGTCTCAATTGACGATACCCATGATAATCTCCCCAAAAAAAGGAAAAAAAAAGGAAAAAAAAAAGAAAAAAAGAAAAAAAGTTCGGATTGTGATGGCGCGCCTTGGTGGCCTGTGGCGCAGCATCCTCTCACTGTAGATTCTCCCTTGGCCAATCATTCTTCCACTCCCACTGGCTTCAATCGTTTTAGAGCTTCCTTCAACACCTGGTGAAAGGGAGACTCAATTCCTCATTTATACGCGCCTCTCCATATGGCTTTCACTGTGCATAATCTCAATGGAACACTGACCCAAGTCAAGGCGCCTCTCTAACCACTTTCTGTCTTTGATTGACTCTCTTTTAATAACAACATGGTGGCCTCAAGAAATGGGTCGCTTGCAGGCTCACTGCTGCTTGCTTTGGCCAACCTCCTAATTCCGCTGTCTATCCTCGTTTTTGCCACTGGATTCTTCCCGTATAAGCCTTTTCTTCCTGGTCTGGCCGAATTTGAACCTCTCGAATATGGACCTCCGCCCAAGGCTCCCTTTGATAGACTCGTATTCATGGTGGTTGATGCGTTGCGCAGGTATAGTTGAAACTCACCCGCCTGGACGCGCCGTCACTTATACTGAGATGCGATGATAGCGATTTTGTATTCTCTGAGGAGTCTGGATTTGATTACACTCAGCGGTCAGTCAGTTTTGTGCGCTCACGACTGTTGGTATCATTCTCTCATAGTTCCAATAGCCTCATTCGAGATGGCAGTGCCATCCCCTTTACAGCAAATGCCCGATCACCCACAGTGACAATGCCTAGAATCAAGGCCATCACCACTGGATCGATTCCTTCTTTTGTTGATCTGATTCTCAATTTCAACGAAGCTGACACCTCTTCAACATTGGCCGCCCAAGATACATGGCTGTCCCAGCTCAAGGCCAAGGACACTGGCAAGCTTCTCATGTACGGTGACGATACGTGGCTCAAACTGTTTCCCGAGACGTTTGACCGCCACGACGGAACCTCTAGCTTTTTCGTCGCAGTAAGACTTCACTTGCATGTCCCAATTGATAATCACCTTGGCTCACATGCACTTCAAGGACTTTACAGAGGTGGATAATAATGTGACGAGACACATCAACGATGAACTTGAAAAGGATGACTGGAGCTTGATGGTTCTACACTATCTTGGACTGGATCATATTGGCCACAAGTCGGGACCCCGAAGCACACACATGCCTGGTAAGCAGCGCGAAATGGACGGCATCGTCCACCAGCTGTTCAACGCCCTCGAATCCAAGAGCCACCTGCAGTCGACGCTGCTCGTTCTCTGCGGCGACCACGGCATGAACGATGCGGGCAACCACGGAGCATCGTCCCCTGGAGAAACATCGCCCGCTTTAGTCTTTCTGGCGCCAAAGCTCAAGGAGATATCGGCCAGATATCCGGCCCCTGCGCAGCCCAAGAATGAGTACGACTACTATTCCATGGTTGAGCAATCAGACATCTCGCCGACTCTCGCCGCGCTCTTGGGATTTCCCATCTCGAAGAATAACCTTGGAGCGTTTATACCAGAGTTTTTGCCCTTTTGGCCGAGCTCGAACGATAAGGTGCAGATTCTCCTTCGTAACGCGCGACAGATCCTCAACATTGTCACGGCGGCGTTTGGAGGCGAGCTCTTTGACCTTCAGGCTTCTGTCGACCCGTGCGTCTCCGTATCTTCGGATGTTGATGAGTTGGCCTGCGAGTGGCGCAAGCTCAATTTACAGGCCCCTTCACAGGCTGGTGCTAAAGAGGTCGATCAGGCGTGGCTCTCAGCTACCTCTGCTTGGATTCGCAGGGCTCAGGATCTGATGAGTAGTATGGCATCCAACTACGACATGTCCAGATTATCGCTCGGCCAGGGACTGTCGGTTGCTGCCGTGATTGCCAGTGTTGCAAGTTTAGGTCTGCAGGGCTTCTGCCAGGCTGGCTTTTTGCCGCCATTGTTTTTGCTTGCGGCGACGTATGGACCCATGATGTTTGCCAGTAGCTATGTGGAAGAGGAGCACCATTTCTGGTACTGGACATCTACTATATGGCTGGCGTATCTCGGTGTTAAAGAGGTTCAAAGGTAGGACCATATCATTCCTTCTGTCTTACATGACTATACTGACTATACTCAGATCCTCGCGTCTCTCCTCGATATCAAACCACGTGCTAGCCTTGGCCGCCCTAAGACTCATCCGAAGTTGGAATCAGACGGGCCAGAAATTCGCCGGTGAACCAGACACTGTCAAAAGATTCCTCGTCCCCAATCCCGAAATTCTCTGGGCGCTCATCACCTTGGTGTATGTCGTCGTGACTTTCCAGACTCTGCAGAGCTTATCTGGTTTGCCTTATATATTAGCCACTTCTCTGATGCCGGCTGTATTCTTGGCAACCTTCACTTTCAAACTCGCTTTTACCGCGGAGGATGCACCTGAGTTGGTTGTGGGATTCGCTCACGATCTCTTGGACATCTTTCAAGGCCCATCTCTCATCTTTAGAGCGAGGATCGTCTTTGGACTGCTCGCAGTGTTATACGGTTTCGCCATATATCGAGCAAAGACTGGCGGCCCTCGAGCCTCCCAATCATCCGGTAAGTCTACACTCCTCACATCGACCCCCTTCCCACAGCTCACAAGCACTCTCAACTAACACATCAACCAACACCAGTCGAACTAGTCCACCATCTAAGCACCCTCCTCGCAATGACCCAATCCCGCGCCACAAACATCCCCCTCTTCCTCCTCTCCAGCATCATCCTCCAAACCCTCCAATCAACAACCCTCTCCATCGCCGAAATTACCGCGACCTCCATCGTCCTCCAGTACACAACCTTCTTCGCCTTTGGCGGCTCCAACGCAATCTCCTCCGTCGACCTCTCCAGCGCGTACAACGGCATCAGCGGCTTCAACGTCTTCGCCGTCGGCGCACTCACTCTCGTCAGTAACTGGGCGGGGCCCATTTTCTGGACGTCGGCGACGAATATGCTGCTTATGCAGAAGTATAGACAGGGGAAGACGGATGCGTTTAGGAATCACGTCATCTTGTTGACGATTTTCGTGTCGATGAGTGTGGCGTTTGTGATTGCGGCGTGTACGGCGCTGAGAACGCACTTGTTTATCTGGACGGTGTTTTCGCCAAAGTATTTGTATTGCATGGCGTGGAGCCTGGGGCAGCATTTGTTGATTAATGTTGGCTTTGGGAGCTTTTTATTCTGGGTGGGCACTTGAATTGGGTATAGAAGATGCCCATGTATAAGACTCTCGATATCAATTGATTTCCTGAATAAGAGTTCATCAAGAACCAGTTACATATTGTAATATATAGAAAAAAGAAGACAATCGCATTATTTCAAATCATAAAGCTACGTAGCCAATAATTGTATCGTATCCCCTGAACCACTCCCATCTAGAACCAATTTGCTTATATACCTATATTTCATGACACATTACACGTTCGCGATGCTGCCTCACACATCCTCCATCTTGGTATCTTCATCAGACAACAAATCCTCCACAAGCTCATCCCTGCTCGGGTTCTCCGGCACGACGGTCCCATCGTCGCTATTCGCATCGCTATCATCCTCGACTTTGATCTTGTCGTTTTCATTGTCGTTTTCATTGTCGTTGCCGTTGTCATTGTCGTTGTCATTGTCGTCCTCTGCATTCGATGCGACAGACTTTTCGCCTGGCGATTGACGGTCCACGGCGACTGATACGCTGCGGCTGGTCCGACTATGCGCTGGGCGCTGTTCATCTAGATTGTTGACAATCTTGCCCAGGCTGACATGAATCTTGTACAGCGCGTTGCGGCCGGTGGTGTCTGTGACAAGGCCCTCCTCAACGGCTTCAGAAATGGTCTCGTAGGTCTCTCGGAGCTTCTCTTCAGTGGAGTTGGGTGATACGTAGAGTTTTCCGAGAAGGCCGGCAACCAGCTTCTTTTCGGCTTCTATCAAATTTGTCAGCCAAGGTTCTTTGAATGTGGATATGTAGGAGGCCAAACTTACTGCTAATGCTTGCACGAAGCCTTTCTAGAATATCGCAGGCAAAGTCAAGATGCACATCGCCATTGACACCCTTCTTCTCCCCGTCAAGAAGAATTTCTGGGCTGTAGCATTTCCGCGGGTCCGTCCAGTCCGCCAAACAAGCACCAATGGTCGTCATGCTAACCATGTCCTCTTCAACGTCGACATCGTCGTCCTCCAGGCCCTCACGCAAGTTGAGCAGAGAATGGAGAGCTACCAGGGAAACCTTTCTCATGAGATTCTGATTCTCCAAACGAGAGAAGCAGAATACTGGCAAGAAGTAGTTGAGGGCTTGTCTAACTGTCTGGTTGGTAGAGGACGCGGGATCAAAGTAGGCAATCACTAGGGACTTTAGCAGCTCTTCGCAAACCTCTTCATCAGAAATAACGCGGCCTAGGAGCAGTTTGGATGCTGCTATAGTAGCTGCGGCTTGCACCTCGGATGACCTGCCACTGCCCTTGACTGCCTTGACGTACACCTTGATAACAGCTGGAGTCGAGTCAAGCAGCTGAGATCCATGGACGTTCAAGATGTCCGTCAAGATGTGTAGGGCAGTGATCTGCAAGGCTGTGTGTCCCTTGGTGAAGAAGTGGATAAAGAGTCCCAGGTTTTCTTCGGCCAACGAGCGGTCTAGCAGGGCGCATAGTCCCAGGCAGAGAAGTCCTCTTTCACGAACGGGTGCCTCATGGCTCCGTACAGCTGGTACCACCAGATTATTCAACATGGACACCAAGTCCGTGTTGTCTTTGAGGTTTCCGGTGACGTGTGTAAGCATGCATTGGACAATGTGCAGACATTTCAAGTTGACGATAATCTCTCTCACTGCCTTCTCTTGAGCCTCCTCCTCAGTCAGCTCAGTATCCTTTTTGGAATCAGGGGCGGGAGTGTTTTCGCGGCTCCTAAGGTCGGATTTGGCAGAGACGAAGCTGTCGTCGTCTTCTCCAGGGACGTCTTCATCCGCAATTGTGTCGTGCACATCAGCAACGGCTTCAAGGACAATACTGCAGAACTCTCGCTCTCCGGCAGCATCCGGGGCGCAAATGTACCGAAGAGCTTCCATGGTAAGCTTTGTTACCTCATCTGGGAGTTCTGGGATGGCTAGGGACTGGCGAAGCAGAGTAAACATTTTCCTTCGGCCGACCTCGTCAGAGTAATCAAGAGTCAGCGCAATGTGGAGCATCTGCTCGATGATGAATTCCTGCTCAACGGTATCCTCTTCATCGTCTTCCTCGTCAAGGTTTGCCACTCTCTTAATGGCATCCACCAGGACCTTCAGATAGCGCTCTAGGAAGAAGGCCAGCTTGGTGACTTCTGGAAGCTTCTCCTCTACCAGGGACTCGTATCGACCATTGCCTTCGCTACGGCAGAAGTCATTGAAGCTTCTGGCCATAAACACAGACTCGGCGGACAGAGTCTCCCAGAACCGGTCGTCCAAGACCACGGCCTCGCGATAATCTGGACGGCCCTCCCAAAAGCCATTCATTGCCTCAAGGGCCACTCCATTCTCGACTCCAGAATTGATGACGTCGATTCGCTCCAGAAGCTCCAACAAACCTTCAAAGTTTGGTGGAGCTTCCTCTGTTGGCGGTACGCCAGCACAGTCTGCAATCCAGCGCTCCCGGAAAAGTCTCCCTGCCGCCTTTCGTACGTTGTCGTCTCGGTCACGAAGGCCCCATCGGAGGAGCTTTTCTCTCATAGATAGCGACAAATGACGGAAGTCTCCCAGAGCTGGCAGAAGACGAGAGTAGACTGCTCTTCGCGTGGCGGCGTCCTGATCCCTTGCACGCTCGAGCAGGTATGGTAGCGTAGCGGGTAGGATTGGGAGATTCACTAGCAGTGATCGTCGAACGTCGGCGCTTGAATCGTTTTGTAAGACGTCTAGGAGTTTATCCAAGAGGCCGGTCGACGGGTTGTCGCTGTCGTCTGATTTGCCGCCGTCTTCGGGTTGGTTTCCCGCAAGTCGACCAAGGCCCAGCACCGCCTGCACGCGGACCATGGCCTCCTTGTCTCGAATCCGTTTCAACAGGTTGTTGCGGAGGTCTTGAAACAGGTCGTCGTCGATGGCCTCGAGAGAGTTGATGATGTGAGAGATAAGCTGTGTTGACCTAAACCGCACGTACTTGTCCTTGGCCTGCATCAGGGAGAGCGCAGTTTTGAGCACCTGTGAAGAAAGCCGCGTGCTTGGGGTCTCGGGCATCAAGCTCGTGTCGACATCGGCCTCATCCAAAAGCTCGTTATCCTTGTCCGAAGCATGTCGCAGAAACAGTCCAATGAATCGGATCAACTTCTCTCCAACACTTTCCGCCTTCTTCACCGGCATGATGCGCAGCAAGCATCGAACGAATTCGTGGTTGAACGCCTTCTCGTCGAATTGGTCCTCGGATGGGTTCTTCGCACTGACGGGCTCGTAGCAGCATGATTCCTGGATCTTTCGAAGGTTGACTGCCAGCTTCCGATGCGTGGCCGTGGTCCTTTGCGCATCGCGAAAGATGGCGCAAACTTGATTCCGAAGCGCACTGTTTGGCGTTTCGGTATGTTCTACAAGGGTCTCGGTCTTTTTGGCCTTGGCCGGTCTCCCCAGGCGCGCGCCCGATCTTGTCGGCATATTTGGTTGAGGTCCTGCGCGAGCCGCAAGATGCCGTGAATCTGCAAAAGTTGGATGTTTAGTCGTGTGTTGTTTAGCCAGCGCGTCTTCCAGATACAGGTACTGCCATCAACAATTCTCCCGTTTTGGCATAACGTGGTGTTGGTACCCCGCCATCCACATCGGGGCTAGCGTCAATGTCGAAACGGTCAATCGATAAGATAAGAATGCCGATAGCTGAAGCTCCAGATTTTTTTTTTCTTAGCAGAGATACTTTGTCCCAGACTTTGTTTTCATCACGGCCAAAGTAGTGTTGCAATTGTTTTCGCAGCAACAAACGCCATGGCGCCTCCTACGAATGATCGAAAGCGCAGAAGGTCAGACGGTGAAACCTCTGCTGCCCCAAAAACTCAGGATCCAGACGGTGGAATTTCGCGAAATCCCAAGAAAGCAAAGACTGACGATCGACGATCCGTCTTTGTCCGGTCATTGCCTCCCAACGTTACGAATGAGAGCCTCGCAGACTTCTTCTCGCAGTATTTTCCAGTCAAGCATGCTACTGTAGTTATTGATCAGAAAACGAAGGAGTCAAGAGGGTTTGGCTTTGTTTCGTTTGCTGATGCCGACGACGCCAAAGACGCCAAGGAGGCATTGGACAAGAAGGAATGGGATGGCCGACGCATTCGAATCGAAGTCGCGGAACCCAGACATCGAAATGCCGACCCGGATTCAGAAGATGCAGGCAAGAAGCAGGGCAAGGGTAGAGAAGCGTACCAGCCACCACCCACCAAGTTGATTATTCGAAATCTGCCGTGGAGCATCAAGACATCTGAGCAGCTTTCAAAGCTATTCATCAGCTTCGGCAAAGTCAAATTTGCCGATCTGCCACAAAATAAGGGAAAACTCAAGGGTTTTGGTTTCGTCACCCTCAGGGGACGTCCAAACGCAGAGAAGGCTCTCGAGGCTATTAACGGCAAAGTCATTGACGGTCGAACCTTGGCCGTCGACTGGGCCGTTGATAAGCAGACCTGGGACAAGCAACAAACCACAGACAGCGACGGAAAGGAGGCCAAGGAGGCCGAGGATGAAGATGATAAACCAGCTGCCAAGGATAAGGGAGTCGGAGCTGATGGCGAAGTCAAGAACCGTGACGACCAACTGCAATCAGATCTTGCAAACTTTATGAAAAACTACATGCACAACATGGAAGACGAAGAGGACCCAGACGAGGAGCAAGATGACGAGGATGAGGAGGAAGATGACGAAGACATGAAACTGTTGGACGAGGAGGAAGAAGAAGAGGAGGAAGAGCCCGAGAAGCCAAAGCGTGAGCTGATGACGGACAATTCCGCCACTGTTTTCGTTCGAAATCTGCCGTTTACGACTACGGATGAGCAGCTTAAATCTTTCTTTGGCCACTTTGGCAATGTTCGATATGCTAGAGTTGTCATTGACAAGGCCACGGAGAAGCCGGCCGGCACAGGCTTTGTATGCTTCGTTGACGCTGCCGACGCAAAGACGTGCTTGATCGATGCTCCTCGCCGCACACAACCGACCGCGGGAGGTGTCAAGCACTCTATTCTCCAAGATGAAAACGCCGACCCTACCGGTAAATACACGCTCAATGGCCGAGTCCTGCAGGTGGCCCAAGCCGTGGGCAAGAACGAGGCCGCCAACTTGGCAGAGAACTCACTTGCCCAGCGAAGACAAAAGGACAAGCGCCGATTGTACCTCCTATCAGAAGGCCAGCTCGGCGCGGGTTCTCCTCTGCGCGGCCTCTTGACCGACGCCGAAGTTCGGATGAGACAGGCTAGTGCCGTGCAGCGCAAGAAGCTTGTAGAGAAGAACCCCATGTTGCACATCAGCATGACCCGTCTTGCTCTTCGAAACATTCCCAACGACATTGGTGCCAAGGATCTGAAAGAGCTGGCTAGAAAGGCTGTCGTAGGCTTTGCCAAGGATGTCAAGGAAGGACGCCGACAGCCGCTTTCCAAGGAAGAGAATGCCAGAGATGGCAAGGATGCCAAGGACAAGGAGAAGGACCGCAAGCTCAAGCGCAAGGGTATTGTTAAGCAAGCCAAGATTGTGTTTGAGGACAACAAGGGATCCAAGGTATCTGAGACCAGTGGAGCTGGCAAGAGCCGTGGCTACGGTTTCATTGAGTACACGTCTCACCGCTGGGCTTTGATGGGTTTGAGATACTTGAACGGTCTCCAGCTGGACGGAAACAATGGCAAGAAGCAGCGCTTGATTGTTGAATTTGCTATTGAGAACGCACAGGTTGTGAAGCGGCGACAGGATGCCGAGAATGCCTCCAGGGCGCCCAAAACAAAAGAAAATGACGGCGCCGATGCCTCTGAGGCTGAGGAGGATGAAGAGGAAGAGGAGGCCCCTGCGTCAAAGAAGAAGCAAAAGGGCAAGAAGAATAGGGGAAACATGAACAAGGGCCCCAAGGTGAAGAAGCCCGCCGGGGAAGACGAAGGGGAGAAGGAAAAAGAAAAGAAGCCGACGGATGAAAAAGAGGCGATTCAGCAGAAGCTGATTGCGCGGAAGAGATTGATGCGCAAGAAGAAGGCGGGATCAAGGGGAAAAGCGTAAATTCTGGGTGTCCATTTATAATATCCAATGGCATGGTTCGTTTCCTTGTTGTACATGGTTTTTCTGTTTTCACGGGCTATAATGGATTTGAAGATTTCGTGTTTAGACGTGGTAGTGTATTCAAAAATGTCAATTTGGCTGAGGCTATGTGCTTTTTGTTCAAGAATGGTGATTCCGCCCAAGTGAAAATATACTACGAATTTTGAGCTGAGAAGGTGTGGGAAAAAAAAAGAGAAAGAAAACGTAAAGCAGGGCAATTATTTCCAAAACCATCCCGACTTCTTGTCCTGCGTCTGCGGTTCTTCTGCATCTGGGTCTGCTCGCTCGATCACGCTGTTATCATTATTTCTCCCCGCCTCATGTTTCTGCGTCTGATCCGCCGGACGCATGGTAAAGTGTGTTTCCGTTCCAATTTCATTACCATTCTTATCGTAAGTCTTCTTCGTCACTGTCGTAGTCAGGTAGCCGAAGCTGTTGACCTTTTCCTCTCTTGTTACAACTTCCTTATTTCCGTTGTCATATACCTTTTCTTCACTTGTGCTGGATGATGGAGAAGCTGAGTTATCCGTGGACACGGGTTTGTGATCCGTGATACTCTTGACGAAAGTGTCCCACGTCTTGTGGCCCTCTGCAAAGGTCGAGCCAAGAGAGGAAAAGAGGTCATCAAAGTGATCGGGGAGGCGCTTCTGGTGCTGGTCACCATGGTCTTCTGGGTGTGACTTATTTCGGCCATGGAAACTATCATCTAGCTGCTTGAATGTCTGGCGCACTTCATCGAAGAAGCTGGTCCCGTTGGTCTGGCTCTGGCCATTAGACTGCTCACTTGCAGCAACACTGTTCCATACTTCAGCTGCTTTTCGATCGAGCTCTTCGTGAAGCTTGGACCAGTCGTTCCAATATGAGTTGGGGAATTCAGATTCAGTGTCGTCTCCCCAAATACCAAAGTTTCGAGGTTGGAAGTACAGCTCTTTTCGAGTGGGTCGTCTAAGCAAACCTTGGGATTCCAGTCTTCGAAGCCAGAACCAGGTAGGCTCGCCATTGGAAAACATTTGCCGCAGCAGCAGCCTCTGCTTGTACCTGGACTTGATGTCAGGCAGAGGCTGTCCTTGAGAAACGGCGAGCAAGTCTTCAAAGGCATCCTCGAATGTGAAGACGGACGAGTCGCATTGTGGTGGCAGGTCATTCGGGACGGGCTGTCTGAGGTGGCGCAAATTGGCTGGCGAATAAGCCCATGAAGCGACTGAGACGGTGTCCAGAGCCGGCGGGCGAGACTCGAGGCTGTCCATTGTGACCGGAGCAAGGGCCGCTGTCTGGTTAGAGCTGTCAGAAACAGGCGTATCCGGTGATTTGGAGGTTGACAGATCAGATTGAGCGTCTGCTGGGAATTGTGGCTGGTGGGGTTGGAGGAGGGAGTGAAAGGCCGAGTCCACGTGCTGCTTGAATCGAACAAAGACGTCTAGAGGATCGCCGTCGCGGGGCATGCCGAGGACATTGAAGATGTTTTGTCTGTTGAGGATGAGGATGAGGATTGAGACAGACAAGGGAGAAGGGAGATGAAGAAGTTGAGTGATGTGATGGTGATAAAAGAAGAGGGACGATAAGAAGGTGATACAGTGTCTTATCGAGAGACACAGCAGAAAGTCTCATGACCTGAGCAGCTACTGCTAGCCCCAGCTTCTGGATTTTGGCATATGATGTAACGGGAGTGTCTGTCACGGCAAGTACCTGACAGCAGTAAATTGCGTGCATATGTACGCACTCAAGACGTGGCTGGTACTGCTGTGGCGGTGCAGCTGCGTTTGCTTGTGATGGTGCTGTACGAGTAACTTGTGGTGTACTTGATCAATGTGACTGCCTTGTGTAGAATGTAACCTTTCGGCCATTTTCAAGGTGTTATTGAAAGCATTTAAACACTCTTTGTAACAGACAGCCTTCATATGAAAGAGGCAGGAAGATGACTACAAATAAATAAGCATAGACAGATGGATAGAATTAGCCATGTTGTGAATCTACATCAATCAACATGTCTCTTCTTTTATGCTGCCTTTGTTCTTTTGTTCTACTGTATAGACTCAGTGCAGTCAGGTACAAGTACTTGCACCCCGTTTAGAAATTTTTGTCTTCAGTGATGACATAGCGTGGGGGTACGTACCTCCCGTCATCTGCATCTGCAGGCGGAAATTCGGCGCCAAGCCCGCGACAAGCAATAATGATGCGTGATTGTTGGACCGCATTTTGCAACTTCTTCCATTCATGTCCAGCTCAGCCTCTGCATCAGCCTGCCTTTAAAAGATCATGATCCTCGCCCGTACCGACTGTCGCTGCTCTTCGCCCCGATGATACCTTGTCAGGCAATCTGCCGCGGCTTCTGGCGAATGTAGTTTCGCTTTCGCGTTTCTCCACCAATCTCCGATCCTACCGTCATTTGCTTCTTCATCCCCCCCCTTTGCCGCCTTGCTTCGTCCTCAGAACACATCCTCACTTGGCGGCGACGATGGGACCCGATATCACAGAGTCGACTCTGCCGACGTGGACGAGCATTTTCACAGCACCGACAGCGACAAGCAGCCTGGGAGCCGGAGACAGCCCGGGGCGAGACGACGACGAAGATGCCCTGCAGCGCTGGTCGTCCCTGATTGGCATCATCACGGCCATTGTCGGCAACGTGCTGATTGCACTTGCTCTCAACGTCCAGAGATATGCGCACACGCGGCTGCACAAGGAGCGCAAGAGGCTAAAACAAGAGGCTCGGGCAGCCTTGAAGCGAGCGCATAGCAGTAGCAGCAATGGGAGCACACAGGTCGGCGTCTATGGCACCATCATCAGTGACGATACAGGAGATCATTACCAAAATGGCCGTTCAAGTACAAACGGCCACGACAGAGGGCTGTACGATGACCCTTCCGACGACGAGCACGATTTCGCCGAAGACGAGCCCCTGATGGCCTCGTTTCAGTCCAGCGCAACGACGGCAAGCTCCGACACCGGCTCCAAGCAAGACAAAAAACCATCCTCAAACTACCTGAAATCGCCATACTGGTGGCTCGGCCAGATCTTGATAACGTTGGGAGAAGCAGGCAATTTCCTAGCGTATGGCTTTGCGCCGGCCTCCATCGTCTCGCCTCTCGGAGTCGTTGCGCTGGTGTCCAACTGCATCATTGCACCCGCCATGTTTCACGAAAAGTTTAGACCTCGCGATTTCTGGGGCGTTGTCATTGCCGTTTCTGGCGTTGTCACGGTCGTTTTGAGTGCGAACCAGGAGGAGACGAAGCTGAATCCCCACGATGTCTGGGGAGCAATTACGACGATGGAATTCGAAATCTACCTTGGCGTCACGACATTTCTCATCATCGTTCTCATGTGGGCGAGCAGGATATATGGCAAACGCACCATCCTTATTGATCTCGGCCTCGTCGGCCTCTTTGGTGAGTTGTGCATACAATCACCAACATGCTTTTCCATACTGACTCGTACCTCGCAGGTGGATATACGGCCTTGGCCACCAAAGGTGTATCATCGATGCTCTCCACCAGCTTTGTGGGGGCTTTCACAACGCCTGTAACATATGCCCTCATATTTATCCTACTATCAACTGCCATCATGCAGATTCGCTATGTCAACAAGGCTCTATCTCGCTTCGACTCGACGCAAGTCATCCCCATCCAGTTCGTCATGTTCACACTGTGTGTCATCATCGGCAGCGCAGTGTTGTACCGCGATTTCGAAAAGACGAATAAGAAGCAGGCTGCCAAGTTTGTTGGTGGCTGTCTTCTCACATTCTTTGGCGTCTTTCTCATTACTAGTGGGAGAGACCACAGAGATGATGACGAGGATATGCTCTCCGAGACTGACGGCATCGAAGAAACGATTGGGCTGATGCAGCACGACGGTAACGCCTCATCTTCTGCACTTCCACAACAACAACACGACCAGCGGCGCCTCAGTGTGCCGCCTCCCAAAACGCCCTCTCGCCGATCTAGTAGAATGTCTCGAGTGAGCTTCGCCGACAGACTCAAGTCAGATTCGCCTCATGGCGCCCTTGAACCCCCCTCCACGCATTATTTTGAATCAGCACACTCTCCAGCACATCTCAACGGCGACGAAGCACACGTCCTTGTAAATAACCCATGGCAAGGCCTATGGGTGAGCCCAGATCCCCCTCGAGGCACCCGCACCGTATCAGCGGAATCTGTCCTCACAAGGTCTGGACTGGGTTCAACGCCTGTGCAACCACATCCTCTCTCATCTTTCAAAGAGCCTCAGGTGACTCCAACACATTCCACCGATCGACCAGTGACACCTCGGGCGGCACATAGTTCCAAATCGGCCAATCACCGATCACGACCATTTATTTCTCCCTCTCCTTTCTCTTCCACAGTCACCACGGCAGTCAAGGATGTCATCCTTCGGGAAAACGACAGCCCCGAGGCGACTGCATCTTCTCTACGACGCATACGATCTAGCATTCGAGCGAGTCTATTCTTTAACAGCGACGACGAAGATGCTCTCATACCCGAGCGCATCGCGGAAGAGCCCATTATTCCTTACTCAGAAGATAATCTGCCCCAAGCACTAGGCCATGACGATGCTGGGCCAAGCACAGACGCAAAAGTCTCAAGAGGGAGATCACGGAGTCTGAGCGACACAATTGGGGAGTTTTTCCGGCCTAAAAAGCAGAAGAAGGTCGAGGCGGCCGAAGAAGATGAACATTTATTAGATGGCGACGACGAGCAGCAATCAAGTCGCAGTCCATAATTTTAATAGTTAAAACACGGGGCGGGCGGGTTTACAGTCTTTACATATTAATATTCAACGCGCATTTCACTACTCATATGTTGGTTTTGAAGATGGTTGTTTAAAAGATTCTTTTTCTTTCTTTTGCGGCAGTACGATGCATCCATAATGATGGCGTTATTTTTGGCATCACGAGCAAGGGGGAGAGGGGAGAAAAGCGGCTCGCATGAATGAATGATGAATGAATGAGGCGGGGGAGGGCATTAGTCAGTCAGATCTGGTTTTGCGTGTTTTTTGTTCTGTTTTGTTTGCTTTTTGCGGCATTTCTTATTGTTTGATGATAGTAAAATGAATATATGGCTGTGTTGGTTAGGCGAGATGAGTTGGGATGGGGTCAGCCCCTTTTGGTCTCCTTTTCTGCTCGTGTGATAGCATACCGTTGCTAACGTGTTGGTTAATATTATTTTTGCTATTATTCTCAATTATCCTAGGTCCCAAGTTAGGATTCGCTAATTCTTAAGATGGATATATCTTCAACATGTATTTGCTTAGTGATGAAGTTATGTTGTATATAAATGAAGATTATACGGTTATTGATCGTCTCTGAATCGGAGTAAGCAATAAAATTAGATTCGAATAAAGTAAAGGAAGAAGAAGCCATGAGTCCAACTATCTAGGGATTTTTATGAGCTCTGCGTGTTGCACTAGAACTAAGTCTCGTCCACGTCCATGATATCCTCATGCATGGCTTCCCATGTGCTATCAATCTCATCAAAATCCAATGTCTGGTGCAACATCATACCATCTGGTGCATTGAAATCATGTTCCATGATATCCTCCCATAGGGCTTGCGATATGTTTGTGACCTCATCAACACTTTCCATCCTATTCATTATCTCTTCATCTGGTTCTTCCATGTCGTGACACACAAGTTTCCAGTCGTCGCCTAGCTCATATAGGTATGTAAATGCCTCTGTATCTGGTACACAAGGTGTCTTTCCCATAGTGGATAGGTGTGGGGAAGACATTTGTTTGGTCAACTCGGTGTGGCAAAATTGAAAGATAGAAAAAGACCCTCCTACATGAGATACTAAAACGCGATTTCGTTCGTTATATATATCCTCTGCTCGGTATTGTGGGGGAATCCACACGAGCTTCTTCCCCTTGTATTCGATCCAAACCCGCTGCTCACCCAGGCTGTAAATGTCAGCTTCTCTGAGTCGTAACGCATTGCTGACCTCGCCTGTGAGCTCTAGATCTGGTCTCATTCGTAATGCAACTCGGGTACATGTATCTTGACGTCGGCGAAATGTATCGGCTGAGGAGACAGCTAGGTCAAGAATTAGGTAGCAATGCTTAGTGAATTGTACCTCTTCAATATAGTAGTAGACATGCTCCTCCTCCTCCTCCTCCTCTTCCTCTTCTTCTTCCTCTTCTTCTTCCTCTTCCTCTTCCTCTTCCTCTTCCTCTTCCACTCCCTCTAGAGCCTCTCCATCTTCCAGATCTTCCCCACTGAGTGAACCCCAGGAATCTGAGTTAGAAATGGTGCGGTTAGAACGAACAATTAAATCGTGAGAGCTGAAGCTGAAGCTCAACTCTTTTGTTTGAACGGCGGACCCCGAAGCAATATCCCATATTTCAACCCTGATTAGGGAGTCACCAGGCTCATACAAGACTGCTAGTTGTCGGTTGTCTGGCGAAAAGCGAAGAAATGGTAATGCGACTACTTTTTGTCTCTCTTCCAAACACATCAGACATTTTCCTGAGCTTGCGTCCCATACTTGAACGTTGGAGTCGCCATCATCTTCATTGACGAAGATGGCAGCTAAACGCTTACTGTCCAATGAAAACACGAAATTTTTTTTGAAGAATAACTCATTGTTGAGGATGGTTTCCCACATCAAGATAAATTTTATAGGCTCGGAGGAAATATCCCATAGTATGTAGCCGCTCTTTGAGTAAGCGACCAGCTTTTCTGAATCAGGAGAGAAGAGAAGGTTCACCCTACCTCGCTGAACAGAAGTGGGAATTTTCAGAAAGCGAGTGGATTTCGTCGAGTCGATTTCCAAGATTTCTATAGTTGATGTGTAGGTGAGTACTGATGCGACAAGCCTCCCGTTAGGCGATAGAGAGATACCGCGTCTCTTGATGATATTTTTGTTGTTAGGGGAGTTATCGTCTGAATCTCTCCCGATGAAGCTTTCTTGACCTAGATTTATAACGCTGATCGCGAACCCAAAGGCGCTAAACATTTTGCTTCCATCTTTAGAAAAGACAATGTAGCGGCTTCTCATTAAGATCTTCCGCAAGCATTTGCCTGAAATAGTGCTGAAAAGCTCAATTCCATGAAGACTAGCAATCGCTAGAAGCTTCCCATCAGGAGACAATGTGATATCTTCAATGTCCGTTTCCGTTTGATATGACCATTTAGTCTTACCTGATGGTATGTCTAACAATACGACGACGTTCGCATTTTGAAGGACTAGAAGAGAATCATCATGGGAGAGCCTCATAACCAGGATTTGCCGGATTGTATCCTGAAAATAATGGATGGTATTGCCAGTATCAATATTGAGGATTTCGACGTGAGAATTTCTGCTCAATGCTATTTTATTGTCGTCGGCGGGTGCGAATATGGATAAAATTGCAAGAGAGTGTGGTTCCTGCAACTGGATCTTCTCAATCGTTTGGCCTGTTTCAATATTCCACGTTGTAACAATGAGTATTTCATTGTTGTCATTCCGACTTTCGTCATGCTTAGAGACATAGCTAAGCATGTGCTGCGTTGACTTTAGGTATTTAATCGATATCACAATACCTTTGGGTTGAAGTTTTTTCGACACTTTACCCGTTTTAACATCCCAGATGGCCAAGTGATATTGATCTCCAAAGGTATAATAGCTTGATGCCAGTTCTTGTCTATTCCAAGGCGAAAAGACAATAAGGCAACTATACTCAAACATGTCGTCGTGAAGCTCCGTAAAAGAAGCATCTGGGTCCAAGACCCGAATTATTTTGCCAGAATAAGTTTCCCATATTGTTATAAAAGCGCCGTAATAATGATGAGATGCTATCCAGGTTCCACAGTCAGAGACGGCGAGGCCCGTGATACGATTAATGGTTTCATATGTTCTCGAAGATGGAGCCCATTCGGCTTCGCCTTTAGCTAGTGTTTGAACCCATTTGGGAGCTTCTTTTTCAAATTGGCGACGAATGATGCTTTGATTCGGACTAAAGATCATGGCAGACAAGTAAACTTGTAAAGGATAATTCGCTATAGCATCGCCAAACATTTGGATAAATTTGCAAGCATCCCAGACAAATTTGAGTAGTCCAGAAATTTGGGAATTAGCCTGTTGTAGTGAGTTACAAGTAGCTCTCAGTTCAAATGACGTATAAATAACTTACAACGAGTTGCTCTAGCCGTTGCATTCCCGTTATGCCGTCGACAATGCCTTTGAGAAGGCTCAAAGCTTCCAACCAGTAAATAAACTTCTCTCCGAGAAAGGTATGTATCAGTTCATGGCTCTGAGAAGAGTCATGAGAGTCTGTTCTGACTTTGGGTATAGATTGTTCAAAATGATTAATCCAGTAAATGCAGGCATATCTGATAGGATCGAGTGGGTCGTTGCTCAAAGCATGCTGCGAGATATCATCTATCGAAAATGCGGGATCGACTAGATTATACATGTCTTTTCTTAAATGTTTTCTCAAAAGAGCAATAGACATCATGAAGATCTCTCTGTGGACATATTCCATGCCATCTGGAAACAACCGCCGACTTCCTTCTTTGATGATAAAATCTTTGGCAGACTGATGGACGAAGTATATAGTGCCATTTCTCATAGTTAGAAAGGAGCCACAGTGGCCTAAGATGTCTTCCCAGTCATACTCAGAGGGCGGCATTATCTCTTCGCGATGACCATTATTGACTAGAAGACTTAATTCTTCTTCGGTAAGAGGTCGGTGGGCAACTGCAGTGATTGCTAGAGCTTTCCTGCTAATGTCTGATATACTTGGGTCACATACTCTACTTATCATTCGTTCGTAGAGTTGATCAAGCCCTGGAGGGAAATCTGCCGATTTTGGGAGAGGATCAGATCGTGGTACCTTCTCCAGGAGGGCACACACCAATGCCACCCAGAGGAAAGTACCGTTTGCGTTATCAAAGAGATATCTTTCAATGTTCTCCTTTGTGAGTTGTTTATAATGCTTCTTGTTGGTGAGGAGCTGTACTTTATGTCGAATGTAGGTAGATATAGCTGTTGATACAGAATCTGCATTAAGCTCGAGACTCACAGTTGACTTGTTCTCTGCAGCTGCCAGTGCCTCTTGAATGTCCGCCTCATTTCGACTTGACACGAGCCATTTTGCCCGAGATAATGATGCTGAGTTTCTTACTATCATCTCGAGAAGTTGTGTTAAATCAGCCTCGCACTCATCCAGTGCGTCGATAACGAAGATCGGTTCGTTGAATACATTATCTTTGAGGATTTGCTCAAATATCCGCGAGAGAACGATCCAGGAATTAACACCCTCAAATGCTGAATTTCCTGACTTGTCATACTCGTGTCTGACCCAAGAGATGAGTGAGGGTTGTTGGACAACCATCATATGCAACAAGCCACGTAGGATCGCCGAGGCATTGTTAAGGCGGTCGTCTGTCGCTTGACAGAGAAAATAATAAATATTGCCTCTGGGGTTGGCCGACTTTAGCTCATTAATGATGCCGCATAACAGCATTGTCTTTCCCTTGCCCGGATCGCCCTTGATCCACAGTAAGCGAGTTTCAGGGTCATCGAGCCATTGCGTAAACTGTTCGTTTCGTATGATCCAGATGTATGCATCCAGAAGCAACCCTCCCTTCGTTTCTTCAATGCGGTGCTTGTCGTCCTCAGGGTTTGTGATAAACAAAGCATCCAGACAAACTTTGTTTTCCTGAAGCTGGGCACGCAGTTTATCGACCTTCGGCTCTTTGACGGGCGGCTTATCAGTCTGGGGGTATCGCTCAACCAAAGCCTTTACAACCGACGCAGCAGTTGCGGCAGCAAAGTTTTGCCATTCTGCCCAATGTTTTGTCTTGTGGCCATCTCCATAGTCACTCACACCCTTGACGATGATACATGGCAGTTCGTCCCAGATACCAGCACCCTCCATCTCAAAAGCAATGATGCCGTGTCTTTTAGCAAAAGCGTCTCGGTGAACGCCCGAGTTAAAGTCTGTGTCACCGGATCCAAAACGTCCAAAAAATATGGCCGGAATTTGTGCGGATTTCAAGTCACCACCGTTCTCCAGCGCATTCTTCTGTTGCAGACGATCTCGATTCTCTAGAGAGCTGAGCTCACAGCCAGTGTGTTCGCAGCTCAAAATTCTAGCGTCATCACACACCGCATAAGAGTCTTCATCCGGGTTATAGTCAGCACACACGCATTGTGATGAGTTGTAATGTCTGTGGCAGTGAGTTGGCTTGAAGAGAATATCGTTGGTAGAGCCCGGATACATATAAGTTGCCAATTTGCGCCTCCGCTGATACTTTGTCTCCGAGGTTCGGTTTTGAATCTGCTCTAGATAAAGCGCTACCTTCTGCTCTAGTCGCTGGTATCCTCTTTCAGTTTTGATATTGGTGATAAAACTTCGAATGTTCTTGTTCGGGCGGCCATGCCGATCCTCAAGAGTGTTCTTTTCTTCAAACGCAGCAGCAAACTGGCTGCCGAGATCATATTGGATGACTGTTTCACTGATGACAACATCGCCAAGCAGCAGTTCTTCACCATTTACACCCGGAACACCTTCACATATTCCAGCGAGAAATATAAGTTCAATGCAAGGATAACTCGATCGGAGACTGGCTGCTACACCAGCTGCGGTGGCTTTGCCTGAATTGCAGAGGAGCACCACGACGATGTTATATTTGCCCATGTACCCTGTGGTGTAGTAGTTGTGATCACCTCGGGCTCTGCCGAATGGGTCTGCATCTGTATCCCAAAACTCGTCAAAGAGAAGGCAGATCGCATCATACTCGAGCGCCCTTGTACAGACGATTGCAATCTCGAATTCGTCCCTGCTAGTCGGTTGGAGCACCTTATCGGCCGCCATGTTGACGATAAAATTGTACTCTGTGAGTCGATTATCACTGAGATATTTCCAGATGAGTATCGTGTATTCAATGTCGATACTCAATATCGTGATTGATGAAGCGATAATTTTGATGAAAAGTTCACAATAGCCAGATGCCCAACTTTAAAGAAGTTGGGCATCCTTCCAGCCCCTCATCTTGCGGCTGAAAAAGTACGTGGTACATCAATGGAGGGCATACCATTGGACTGTAACATGTGCATACACATGCAGGAAGAAACAAGGCTGTGGACATGAATTGGACATGGACTCAACTATACATGCCGCGTATCAACTAATGACGCAATTTGATGCCCAATATGTGAGTTTGAGAGGCCTATGGCAATTTGTGCCGGATAATTTCTTTAAAATAAATCTCGGTAGCGTTGTACAATCTTGTCCAAATTGGAATTGAGTGGCAACCCATGTCCATGTTTTGGGTCGGTCTGACGAGAGCTTCATGTAGGTAGGTAAGTTTAGTGGTCCGATGATTTTGATCTTGAATTACACACATAAAGGATCTATTTTCGGCTAATACTTAGATGTAGTTATCTCAGAGATCGTGCGAAATTTAGACCCTCCAAGTGGTGCCCCTGTGCAACAGACATATGTGATTCCTGAAACTTGCCCTCGAAAACTTCTCCAATAGCTTCGTAGTCGGAACTCGCCTGAACATTCCTGAAGTCATACTGCTTTAACTGAACTATGCTGAGCCGAGTTGTTCTTGCTAGAGCAAACGCGAGCGGTGCATGCAGGGGCATGCAAGTGACTATATCAAAACGTCCATCGGCATACAGAAATGAGGATACTCAGATGCCAAAGGTAAGCTATGAGAAATGTATGTATTCACATTTGCACCTCACAACATAAGTTTACAGTCTCCCTGGTGCGTTTTGAAGATATTAGTAGCCCAGCCTTGTTTCCATCGTCTTCTCCATATCCTCAAGCTCCTTCGAGTCCTGAACATCGCATAGCAAATCGTTCTCCTCGTTAAAGTGGTGAAATAAAAGCACCGTTCTCGACGACTTCCACATAGGCACTTGTCCCGTCTCACCGGCCTCCGCATTACGGATAATGGTACATATAAGAAGCACGAGGGCTAAGAATTGTACCGCAACAGGCAGAGAAACCCACGCCCAGTATACCCGGAAGTAGCTGAAATCAACCTGCATGAGGCCGTTCGCGCGCTGCGTCCCGTTCTGCTGAAGGCTGTCGGTCATACTTTGCGCGACTCGGTTCATCACATCACTGAAATTTGCGTTCATAAATGCTGGTATTACGCCGACCTCGGCGCCATGGCCGATACCGTAATTAACAGTACCCTCGAAGGCTGAGGAGGCAAAGAAACTCTTCAAAGGTTCAACCGCATCCATGCTGACGAAAAAATCATGGCCCCCGGAAGTGTAGTTGATGTGGGAGGCCGTCGTTGTGATAAGGCTGGAGTCTGACTGCTGGTAAACGCCGTCAACAAGTGGGATCAATACTCGCGATCCTATGTTGAGATTGCTCTCGTCCGAGGTGACGAGCGAATAGTTCCAAGCGACCAGGCTCCAGGTACACTCGAAAATGTCGGGTGTAGAGGGCCCTACGACGTAAATGCTGTCCTCGTTGTAGTAGCCAAAGTAAGAATCGTTGAGAAAAGCAACTTGCATGAAGGAGCCGTTGGCGGCCGTGACTGCAGCCTCCAATGTGTTGGTCTTCAAGGACGCTGCAGTGACTGAGCCGCTGGACGCTCCAGTCTGCCACGAATATGGGAATACAACACCACCAGGGGTTGTTAGATTCAAGAATCCGGAACTCTGGCTTCTCATAGCCGCTATCTGTGAGATGTTGTCTGTTTGGGCTGTCACATTGCTGCAAGCACTGTCGAATCCCAAGACTATCTGGCTGGCAGGCCAAGTGCAATTGGAACCACAAGTATACGATTTCGACCAACTCGTTTCTGAAAGCCCTCGAAAGATGGCGGCTTGCATTGAAAACCCGAGGCTCGACTGAGCTAATTATGAGAACAACTTATTAGCTACTAACGCAGTCATTGTATAACCATTTCTTGGTTCATATTCTTGTTTAAATGAGGAAAAAGGATCAATAGGAATTACAGGCGACCATACCATCTGCGGTTAAAATATGGATGGGTGTACCAAAGCTTTCAGTATAAGTATAAAACGCAGGCGAAGTGTTGTTGTTGTTTATATATTCGGAAGCGGATCGAATTTTGACTGATTGTTGGATCATAAAGCCGGTGAAAACGTCTAGAATAATGACAAGAGATGCTAATGCCGTTAAACGCCATCTGACTGACCAAATCACTCTGATAGCACCAACCGGTCCGCCAGAACCCCGATCGAGTAGAGTGAAGTGCTGAAGTCGCTGCCTCTTGGTTTGTTTCAAGTATCGCCACTTCTCTTGATCAAAGCAAGCAGGTACTGTAAAGCCAAGTGCCATGCTGGATACCGTCGAAAGGAGGTTTATGGCTGCGTTGATGGTGATTGATTCAACGTGCCAAGACGTTGATCGTTGATCCTTCATCGCGGCTAAGATGCCTATGATAGCAGCCATGCACAAGATGCTGATGAGTAGGGCCAGCATCTCCCATTTCCATGTCGCGAGTGCCGACAGTGTTGGGAGAAAACACCGCCGCCACAGCTTAGTTTCAGTCTGGTGACTGGAATTATGGCGATTCCCATCAACTCCTGCTTCGTTGAGATAGTCATGTCCAGCTCCCGGTTGTGAATAGACCTGGGTCCTTCGCCTCATGAATCGGCTTCGAATAGAGTTAAACCCTGTAGTAAGTCGAAGGCCCTTCAATCTCATTTAGGTTAGGATACGCTTCATTTCAAGTTCACGTTCTCTGTCCATTTACACGAATGAGATGTTACCTTGTCATGATATTTTCGCTCTTCGCCTTGTCCCGCGGCTTCATAGTGCGTGTCACTTTCAGGCACTTGGAAAATAGTGTTGCCGGGTGCTTCTTTTTTGGAAGGGGTTTCATGGGCAAAATCGGAATTGCTGGTCTCTGTCGTATTCAGACTGACGACCGTGTCTAGGTGCTCTTCGACTGACATGGTAAAGTCGGGGCTGTCACGGATCAAGCTGCCATGGGTTTTATGTCAGGACTGGTGCCAGTTTCTAGGGTGAAGACGCAATGGGGAATCAATACAATCTCCTGGATTTTTCCAACTTCGTGAATTTAGAACAAGTGAGAGAAAGATGGGTATAAGAGAGAATAGTGGTAATTGCTTGTCGAGTAGGGCTAACAAGCTGAACGAAGCTAAAGCATGATGGCTACAGCATGCATAAGTCTGGTAACATTTGTGACATCCTATTATAGGGTTGCGAATCCTAGGGCGTCCTGCAACCCACCTGGGTTTTGATAAATTTCTAACTATAGTAGATAGAGCGCGGAGGATCATCTACCAAGCTCTTCAAATAAAGCCATTGATAGGTCAGTTAAGTGAAGCAGGCTATGAGTCTCAATATGATGTGGAATCAAATGCAGATGAGGCTTAGTCTGAGGGAATTTTGGACAACGCTTCCGAATATGTGAGTATTTCATCTCTTCTAGTGCTGATAATAATGTCATTGAAACCCCTGAGGCCTCGTTTCTTCCGTGCGCGTGTACGCATCCGCGTCCACCCCACCACCTCACATTGTTCTGGATGCCTTTGAAGGAACGAATCATGTACCGTTAATTTCAGCCGCAAAAGAAAGGGTCTGAAGGATGCCCCAGCCCCTCTCCCCCCCTCTCTCAAGGTGGTTGGTATGGCATCACTATATTTTATGCATATTTGACAACATCGCAGATTTGGAGTCCCGGCCCGGTACGAGAACCGAAAAGAACCAGTACTTCGGCTCTGCTTTTTCTTATATCTTCCGGGAACTATTCTTACTTCCAATTTTCAGCAGCAAAAACAAAAGCCATAGCGCATACTCTGGTATATGACTAGTCTAGTCAACTTTATACTATCTTGTGCCAGTTTGCCTAGATATGAGATTGTGATATAGGCCAGCTCAAAGTCCTCATATGTCATGAAATACTGTCGATGACCCTTATCACACCACGCGATCCACTCGGCGCCTGGAGGATGAATTCCTACCAATTTTAGGCCAATATTGCTTACTATAGAAAAGAGGGGGAATATGTTTGGAGATTGAATTCAGCCGTTACTCATGTTCGCACTCGCGTACATAGTTCCGATGAGAGTCTCAAATCTAATAACTTGACATTTTACTAAACACAAATATGCTTCATATATCTATTAGACGTGCTATTTATCTAAGTATATTTCTCAAGAAGCGCTTTCATAACAGACGCTGCCGTAGCAGCAGCAAAATGCTGCCACGTCTTATTCTTGTGGCTATCAGCATAGTCACAAATGCCCTTCACAACAATGCAAGGGAGCTCATCCCAAGCGCCCGCCCCTTCCATCTCAAAAGCGATAAGGTCGTATTCTTCGGCGATTCGATCGCGGTCTTCACTAGATCTCATTACCGTGTCTCCTGATCCTATGGATCCGAGAAATATCGCAGGCGCTTGAGCCTCCTTGCTACGTCCTTGTTGTTCTAAGTGAAGCTTGTGCTTTACCCGACGCCTTTCAACCAGGAATTTCTCGTTGCATCGTAATTCATGGCAAGATAATTTTCGAGAATTCTCACAAGTCTCGTGAGGATTCTTGCAGAGGCACTGCGGGTCGATGCAGTGTTTGTGGACGTAGGTAGCCTCAAATAGTTTGTCGTTTGCAGCGCCTGGACACAGATATTGTTCTATAGAGTGCTCTGTGAAGGCGCTGTTCTGTATATGTTCCAGGTAGAAGGCTGACTGCTTCTCAAGTTGTTTCTTCCCGCGGTTTGTGTCGCAGATTTTGAGCAGACTTCGAATGTCTTTGCTAGGCCTTCCAAGACTGTCCGTTGAGGTGTCTTTGGGCACGAACTTATCGCCGTGACGCCTCCCGAAATCGTACTGAAAGACAGATGTACTCAGAACGACGTCTCCAAGAACAAGCTCTTTTGCAGTTCCAGGGCTGGGCACGCCACCGCATATGCCGGTTAGCAAGAGAAGCTTCACTTCTGGAAAGCTCAAGCGAAGACTTGCAGCTGCGCTGGCGGCACCGACTTTTCCCATGTCAGGTAGAAGTACTAGAACAATATTATGGTTTCCCATCCTCCCGGTTGTATATATGTTTGGATCTCGCATAGCCTTTCCATACTGATCGCCTTCCTCATCCCAGAACTCGTCAATGAGAATGCAGACAGCGTCGTATTCGAGCGGTAACGCGCAGACGATTGCGATTTCGAAATCGTCGCGGGAATTTGGGCGTGGATGAATCGTAGAGATGGTAAGAATGGTCTTTTGAGGCTGGGGTGATGTGCGTTGCTTGTTGAGGAGGGAAGAAGGATCATCATAACTTGGTTGGGGAGAGAGTGTTTTGGTGATTTCAGCATGAGGGTGACGGTACATATTGTGTAGCTTTGATCCAAGGTTAATTTTCCTCTCTGCTTCTTCATCAAGGGCATCCATCGACAAGAACTCTTTAAAGATCGTTCCGACTTCTGCTTCGAGAGGCTTTACGATATCGTTGAAAAGAGATTCTCGCAGCATCTGCTCATCACACGTGTCACTGATAGAAAAGTTTGCCATCAGACATTTTTGAATTGCATCCCGATAAACTGTCGAGATAAAATCAGGCCGTAGTTCCTTGAATAGCTCCAAGGCCTTGCACCAGAGATCGTCGTAGTTGGTGATGTCTTCCTCGTACCCCAGGTATGATTCCAATTTCTGCCCAAGATGGATCTCCAGCAGAATCACGCCGAGTTCGAGGAATTCTGGATACTTGTGATAACCATCCGGATCATACAATGGACCGCCCAACCTTTGAGGATCAGATGATAGAAAAGGCCGCAGAGGGAATTGTGTACCGTCCCCGAAGAATACAATATTCTTTCGGCTCCATCGCTCTTTCGTCCAGGATCCACCATAGAAATGGAAAAGGGAGTAGCAGAGGGTAAGACTGAGCGTAAATTTCGCCATTGCTGTCCATCGTTTGGCTTGAGATGCTATTAGAGTGTTGAGGTTCACTTCTTGTTGTAACGTTTCACGCTTGTGTTTTCTCTCGTCGGGCTTATGGCTCTGCATGCCGTCACCTGCAGGATCCAAGATTATGTTCAGTCTCCAGAACTCGGATCTGGATTTTGAATGAGTATCTAAGAGGGCGCAAATGCATTGATAGGTCTTTGGATTGTCAATTCGCCATATTTCTGTGGACTTTGGTATCCCCTCTAGCCCAGTAAATCCGACCTTTGCTTTTCGTCTAATTGGCCTGGTTAAAATTGGCACACAAATGGTAATTGAGTATGTGCTCCTACCTCGGTTGTTGAATGTTGTGAACAGAGACTTCATTCCAGTTGTGTTCAGCTGCATCGGGGGCGAGCAACATACTCAAGCAGCTCACCTCTTGGTCTTCACGTCGTTTCCCCTTTCTGTAGGTTCCTATCCTCAGCCTCACTTCACGCTGAGGTGCACTTCCGCATCTGTTACACGTTATGTGCATCGAGGAAAAGACGCGATCGGCAAATGCAACGAATTCATCCGATGCTCCCCGGGAAGTAAGAGGTAGTTGAGGTCTGTCAATGCCAGGTGCATCTTCTCCGAATCGTTGAAGCTCATCCGACAGCCTCTCCAAGGCGTCTTGCAGAGATTCCCACGCAATCAGTTGGTTTCTGATAGGGATAATATGTAAACTTGCTACTCTTTCTTTCCAGTTGTCAGACTTGGGGACAAGCCTTTGCATAGCTTGAAGCCGAGGATGCCTGCATGGTGAGTCATGAGATTGCTTGAGATCGGTCAGTTAGCGGCATCAAGGCGTATAAGCCATTAGTATCTGATGGTTTCATACAATTTCCTTTTGGAGTGGCGTAAAATCGACGACCTTGTCAAAGACCTCTTCAAGTAAGTCGGCCAAGCTCGCGATCTGGCCTGCGAACCAGAGTGTCTTTTGGGCTTCTTCGATGGCGCCAAGATGGCCATTTAGTACCGTAGAGGCCGTGTATATATTACCCATATACCCATATCGTCTATCGCGCGGGCTCAAATCTTTCTCCAAGTATGTGATGAGCTCCCTCAAGATGGGTAAGGCGTACAGGACGAGTCTGAGGCAGTCGTCTGAATCCGTGTTATTGTTTGGAGATGAGATAGCGCTACCCATGTTCTAACACCTCGAGAAAATGAGGAGAGGAGAGTTAAAAAGAAGTAATGCTTAAGCCATCAATACACATATAATAATGATAGCAATGATATGTTCTGGATTTGAGTGTAACGAGGCTGCAGATGAGCGGGGGAATTCGGACAATGAGGCAGCGAATGGTTGATGTCGTTATCAAAACCCCGCATTTCTCAGCATAATCCATGCAAGACGAATAAAAGAGTTGCTGTATTCTTTCATTTACAGTCAATACTCGAATTGATGTCATGAAAGAATTGCTTCTCAGGTACAGGGAATTTGCCATGTCTCTAAATCTCACCATCCGCGAACGTGCGGCTACTTGCGTTGATCTATTTTCCCAAGCCATCTTGCTTCTAGCTCGAACTGGAAGCTCAGATGATCAAAATGGCTTGCTCGACGAATTCGGCCGGTTCAAGCTCTGGGCGTCCAATATAGGCATATTTGCGGACCTTCACTCTTCTTTGGATTATCGACTCCGAGATTTCAACGACATCAAGGACTCCTTTACAAGACAGCTCATAACCACCGAGAGCAGGCTGCAACAGCGTATGTTGGTCTATTCCCGCGAAAATATCACGTGCATGTATACTGAAGAAAAAAAGTACTTGATGCTGCTCAACGGGATCCGGCCAAACCCCCGATCAAGGGAGATGAAGATGAAGAGCCGGGCATTTCTGAACCCAGCAAACCTACAACGGCCACCATGTTCCAAGATTGGAATAATACACAACTTTTACAATCAATCCATCAGAGCATCGATTGGCTCCATAGGTTGTCCAATCTTGTCAGGAAAGCTAGTTTTGCTAACCAGCACAAAAGGGCTGACAAGTTCATACTCAAGGATGACGACGACAACGATATGAGTGACACTCTAACCGACTATTACACAAAGCTTATCAAGAGAGAATTTAGTGGCATGCAAGACACCATGGTCCAACGACTAGCAGCATCAATGCTGGTGAGGAGAAGGCGGATAATGTACAGGCGATCTCAACAACAGCGTTGGAAGATGCCTCAAGTCGAGCCCAAGACCAAAAATCTTCATTTGGTCACCCCATCGACCAAATTAGGGCCGATTCCTCTAGAGCCAAGCGTTCCATTTAAAAATGAGAAAGCGCCTATGTCGAAGCCAGAAGCAACGGCGCCGTCACGATTGACAGCAACTACTATCGACAAAAACATCCGTCAACGTGTCTCAGCGCCATCCGGCATATCCAGAGGTAGCACTGCTCCACTGAATGAGCAAAGCATGTTGCTCGTACCGCCTCCGCCCAAGGGGATCGATCTCGGTGAGGATTTCGTCTGCGACTATTGTTGTCTTATTCTTCCGAGCAAGATTGCTTTGAACCGAAACGCCTGGGCGTGAGTAACCACATGAATATCCAATCTCTTACTATAACTACCTTGTGTGGGTGAAATTGTAACCCTCTGACACACAACTAGGGATCATGTCAACAAAGATCTATGTCCATATGTTTGTGTTGTTGATAAATGCGATGATGCTATTGAAATTCATTCATCTCGGAAGGAATGGCTTGCCCACATGAGCACACGCCACCAGATGAGATGGTACTGTATTGTCAAATCACATATACAGCCTTTAGAATTCGACAGCGAGAATGGATTTATTGAGCATATGAGGATTGAACACCCAGGAAAATTCAGAAACGACCAGCTATCCCTCGTTGCAGAGAACAGCTCACGTCCAAAAGACTCTGTGTTTGATGATTGTCCATTCTGCATTGGGACTTCCGATAATTTTGAGGAGCACGTTGGGCTACATCTTCGTGACCTTGCATTGCGGTCATTGCCCTGGCCAGATGACGACGAGCGTTACTCTCAATCGGGGAAGTACCTCCATAGCGATAACTCGATATCGAATGAAGATGCTCGAAGCACAATTTTGGACTTCAAATCAGATTCAACGGAGTCTGATATCGCAGACAATACAGACGACGGTGGTGGTTCTGAACATGATGCAGAAGAGCGGTTAGATCTATATGGTCATTTTCAGGAGATCGCCGATCAACACAAACCAATAGATCTAAGAGAACAGCTCTCCGATAAGACGCTGATAAGTCTGGCCATCCAAGAATACCGGGATTTTCCACAACTGGTAAATAAACTTGAGGATCTGCTCGACAACGAATATTCGCAGGCCAAAGATATCACGGCTATTGAAGAAGCGGTTGTCTTTGTGCAGCAGCTCACGAATACAACTTCGTTAGATTACGAGAAGCAGAAAGAACCTACTATCAGAGCATTGGCAGATCCTGACCGAACAGTTCCTCCTGGTAGCACCCAATCCCCACGCAGAGTTTTCGAAATTGCCATTATATGCACACTTTTAATTGAGTATGATGCAATCTGTCTCATATTCGACGAGATTTGGGACAAAGACTACAGACAAAACAAGGGAGATGAGAACACTTACACCACTGGCCGCGTTGGGAAGCGTAACGTCGTGCTCGCTGTCTTGCCTCATACCAGGAAAACCACCGCCGCAGCTGCTATAGCGAATTTTCGGATGATGTACTTGCATTTAGATCTCTTTTTATTAGTCGGTATTTGCGGCGGTGTGCCCAAGTTTCATTCTGGTAAAGAAGAGATGGAAATATTGCTGGGGGATATTATCATCAGCAGTCGGGTTGTTGAGCACTACCCTAACAGCACCAACAAATTCATCGGCACAAACACTCTGCGTACCAATCATAGAGGCAGAGCAAACGAAGCCGCACGTACTCTACATGAATTTTCAGAAACAAGAGGAATATTCCTGCAGCTAGTAGTGCGCCGATCTCTGTTGAACCTTCAGAGCAAAGAAATCGCCAGTTGGAAAGGACGGAATAGAGCCGAGTCTAAATACCAGTATCCGGGAAATGCCAACGATTACCTGTTCGAGGCAGACTACTTTCATAAGCACCACGCCGCGGCCAGCAATTGCCGTCTGTGTAATGGCAATCATGATGCTTGTTGCAACGATGCTCGCAAAGCCTCGTGCCAAGAGATTGGGTGTGAGAAGTCGCAACTTGTCACCCGGCAAAAGAAAATTCGAGATTTTCAGTCGCCCATGGTACGCTTTGGGGCGATTGCATCGGGTGGCACTGTCGTGACGAACGGGCTAGAGCGAGACAAAATATCTAACCAACAAAGGGTTATTGCTTTTGACATGGAGGGATTTGGTGCCTGGGAAAAGGTACCGTGTATCTTCATCAAGAGCGTTTGCGACTATGCTGATGGCCACAAGGAAGAGAGCTGGCGGAATTTTGCGGCAGCGGCGGCGGCAGCGGCGACAAGAGTTTTTCTACTTGATGGCCACAAACATGAGAGATGGGTGTAGAGACAAACTTGTATTAACCTTGCATTTGAGCACTTCCATAGCCGACGAGAGCCTTTAGTTCAATATAACAGCTTCTACGGACTTGATGGAGAGGATTTGGTTAAAGTGAAGAGGTACAAAATTATCTTGATTTTTTTTCAACCCTTGGCTCCTTTGTCTTTTTCTTAACTTGAATCATTTGTACAATATCTTGTTCCACGCATCACAACCGCCATCTCGAATCCTCCATGTTACTGTGGAAGGATGTGGCAAGCTGCATTATTTCGGTTTCTACTGATTCTCTCTAAGATATAGATCGAAACCCATCATTTAGTATGGCGGATATCAACAGCCAGCTGCTGCACGAGACTAGATGTTGTGCACTTCGCCAAATCACCGACGGAACAAATGATTTACTTGCGCGGATCCAGCTAGACGTTGATCGTGGGATATGTAGCAATCCACATGCGTAGTCTATTTTATTCCACAAAGCCATTGGGCAACAGGATCATGAGGCTAGTTTGGATGCAACCCAACATTTGGGACGAAAGAATGTGACAGCCAGCACAATGTAGCGAAGATATCTATGTCCAGGTGGGTTCAGCCGTCATGTTGCATTTGAAAAACCCCAATGATATGACGGAAGGCAGCATCCAATACATGAAATTAGCACATATGCGCATCCGATCCAATTAGATACTGACTATGATGCCATTTATACGTGTGTGCTTTGCCGGGACAGATGATGTTGGTCGTGGACAGAGCCGGATATTGTGCGACTAGGCGATATCAGCTAACTCCCAGGTGCCCAAGTGAGATCTTGAGACTATAATATCGGGCAACGCTGAAGAAAATACTAGCACAAAGGTGCCAAAAAAAAAGAAATTGAAGGGTATTGAACCCAACCCGATTCGAACGGATAACCTTCAGGAGATTCCAAATCAACTGGAATCTGACGCGCTACCGTTGCGCCATGGGTCCGCTGTGAATGCCGACCGAGAAATTGGTACTCATAAGCCCCTCAGAGAATTTGGGGTACGGATCGCAGGTATTCCGGATGTTGTTGTACACGATGCTGTACCGCCAAAATATGTGAATGTGCTCACGTTCAGTCATACGTGAGTTTTTATCTTGACCATGACTTTAATTACGTTGCATTTTGAATGAAACCAACCTTCCAGTACCTTCACGATGATTGCAGCGCCCTTAGGCAGGAATGCACGACAGAGTACACACAGGTAGACACTGGTCTCTGTGTCTTGGGTAGTCGAGAAGATGATGCACGGAACTAAAGTAGAGTCCAATGCCCGAATAACTCAATTATTCAAGACAATTAGAGAAGAGTATAACAAGCTGAGAGAATTTGCAACACGGTTTTGCCAATTGGCTCAACCGAATCCAAGTACTCTATGAGTCCATCTTGCTGTATGTGTTTGCAGTTTCTGTGTTACCCAGAGCATACATGTTTTCATGAGCAACTTCAGCCAGACATGAGAAACATGATTGATCAATTTAGGTACACCGAAATTTTAGCAAAGCTCTCAATTCCTCTGAGAGAGCAACAATGAAATGCCCAACACCACCAGGTATAGGTAGGCAAGCGGTGGACAGTAAAACAGGGAAAATTCAAATTTTGAACACACACACCAAAAATATACGCATATAGAAGTGATCGTCAATCAGTGTGATATGTGCTCATATTTTAGGTATATGTGTACTTATTCATTTTTGAGTCCCTGTTTTACTGTCCACCGCTTGGAGGTAGGTTAGCGATTTGGTACCGACGAGATCGGTTAGAACTACCTAGGTAAGTAAGCCATTGGCGCCATCTCAGCACCAAAGGCTTATAGATTGATTTTTCTCAACTAAATTCAACAGGACCCATGGCGCAACGGTAGCGCGTCAGATTCCAGCTCGGAATCTCCTGAAGGTTATCCGTTCGAATCGGGTTGGGTTCAATGCCCTTCAAAACTTCTTTTTTTGGCCCCTTTCTTGCCTTGCCCATCTATGCGTATGAAACAACACTCACTTGTATTCTTTTCTTTTACTTAGATGTTTCTATTTTGAAGAAGGATCTTGAAGGTGATATCTCGCCAGACAACCTCCCTTCTCCAATACTACTTGATGAATGTGTCACATGGTTTCAACAATATCGCAGAAAATACGCACCCAGAACTCGCCACAGTGTAACACCGATGGAGATAATGTAGAGCACTTTATTGTCTAATCAAAAGTAATTCAAGGTAGATATGATCTAGTTTCCATTCTCAAGCACAGTGTTGGTCGATATCCAGTACCAGGCGTTTCCGTTATAATCACTGACTTGCCCACCATTCGTGCTGTGTGCGTGCGCTGTGTCCATGCAGCCATCAATAATGGCCTCGAAATTGTTCCAGCAGCTTTGTGGGCTGCAGCCAATGTTGGGCGCAATTCTGGTTTGAGCACTGGTCAAACCATCTGCCGTCGTGTAAGATCCATCGCCGCAGGGCGTGTTGTTGCATAGCCAGTCACGGGCAGCCCAGAAGCCATCCCATCGTCCTTGTTTCCAGTTTGTCAGGCCCTGGCTGGAAACAACGCGAACACCGCATTGGGGAGCTGCGGCAAGAATGCCAGGGGCTACGGCGAGGAGGCCGAGACCGAGGGCTAGAAACGAGTGCATTCTGCAATTGAGGTCAACGTTGGCATGGTGAACTATAAGCAGGATGATGTTGGCATACTTGGACTGTTTTCTGTAAGTCTTGTGATAGGATTGAGAGCTGGAAGTTGAGATGAAACTACAGGAGATTTGAACGGAAAGGACAAGGTCAGCATTTATACATCGAAGAAGGCCCGTGTTCGCATGTCGATGACAGTCAAATAAGCTGATATAGTCAGCTCATCACTGACAAGAATTTTGTACATGGTCCCACAAGATCCTGTAACTCAATCGCGTATCTGGTTGATTAGAAGCCCGTTTAGTAATAGGTGATCAGTTATATGCATGCGCGGAGCCGTTCACTTCACACCGTCGGATTTTACGGGCTTAGAACTGTGCACAAAGCACTACCGCTCTCCAGTAATCTGTGGGGGCTCATATGGGTATCTGACAGCTGTCAATTGTCGTATCATACATTGTTGAGCGGACTAAGCGGACTGAGCGGACTGAGCGGGCTCAGAGAGTTGAACTTGAATGACTGCTCTGTTCCCACTTTCAGACCATCGACCCGATTAATAAGCACAGAGATACTGACAACTGTTCGTAATGTTATCATCTGATTTCGTGGATATAAAAGACCGAGAAACCATTTTTGAGCTTGTGTTACGGTGCTATCCCACCCTCAAGAACAAGCAGTTGAAGAAGAGAAAGGTAAAAATATAAACCATCCTTTCCAGGTCCATCTGTCACCTGCAAGTGCGGCGAGCCAAGGACACAAGGGCACTTCGTGAAGTGCCGCATGGTAGCCCCCTTCCTCCCCGACGTACCGGAGAGGGAGGCGCGCTTTGGAACCACTCACATCCAATACCTCCTCGGAGACGGAGGGTACAAGGACTTCCAGAAACTAGTGGAGGACACAAGCCCATACGGCCCCCCCCCTACAGACACAGACACGTAAAACAGATTGACACTCCCCCTTTTCCTTTGTCACATTGAAACGTAGCGAACGCCCGATCTGAACTCGGCGGCTCCTACCGTCCTAGTGCCCAGATGAGGACTTATGTAACTAGGTTACTTAGTGGACGTTAATAATAAAACAAACAAACAAACAAACAGGTCCATCTGTGCATACCATATAGCTCAGCGAGGTTGTCTATTGTCATGTAGATCTAGAACACAAAAATGACTGTTTCATTTGGCTTCTACTTTTGTTGTAAATCCTGAATAGCTAATTGCCCCTTCATAATAAGTGCTGTTTACATGTGCTGTTGCAAATCTACTATAAAATTACTGACCTGTATCTCGCAATCTTTCCCGAATTCGTCTACTCGTGGGTCTAGGTAGTGGTAGTGAAAAAGCCCTCAAGCCATTGTTTCTCCTTTACAGAGTTGTGGTTGAGTGATAGGTCATTTCTCTGACCAAAAAACATCATAAGACGTTGCATGCAATATCTCTTTCAATTGGGTCTCGCCAATCGCCTACACTCCGATCCCTGTTAACCTTGATTATTAGCAGCACCGTTTGCGTTTAATTTGTAGCTAGATAGGCCAAATATAGCGCATTAATACCGTAAGCCAACGTAGCTATTCATATCATGCGATTGTGCTGACGCTTTTATACTGCCGGCTAGGAACGACCAGTAAGACAACTGAATCCACATTTATGTACACGCTTTGGCGAGGAGGAGTGACCATCATTTAAAGGGAAAACATATAAATTAGGTTGAAAATATAGCAGAAGCTATCACAGTTCAGGAACCGCATTATAACTCTTGGGACGCTGTGATTTTACATCCGAGAAGTAGCTGTTTATAGTCAAAATGTTCATAACCTTTCGGGGGAATTTTCACATAATCACACAGGCTAGTTGATGCAAGTATCCCAGTTGCCTATTGTGTGCATGACTGCCTCTTATAAGCGAACGTGGCGCATATCAGTAAAGCTGCAGTGTCAAATGTTAAGCATCAAGGGTCCTACCACTGTAAAAGCACGACGTGTCATACATAAGGTTTATCTTTCTTAATTGACTCAATTATGCTTAACTACGATTGGAAGCAGACAGTGCAGCAGTTGCCAATAAGCATAACGAGACTCGATTGATCTCTCAGATTCCTGTTGGCCAGGGACCTTTCTCAGCCTAAGGCTTGTTTCTAGCAAGCAAAACCATTGTCAAACCAAACTGAATGAGATTTAAAAGAAAAACTCTATATTTAGCCATTAACCATGTCTCATCTCATTAACCCAAATATTCGGGGCAAGAGTTGACAATTACAATCCCATAGATGCAGCCCTTGAACCACTATCAATGGGTCAAGACTCGAATATCTACTCCGTACAGTTGCCTCATAATGTAAACAGTATACCTAGGTCAGAACCTTTTGACATAGAGAAACGGTAGATCTGAACCCCTCTTGGTAGAGTAGGTGGTTTATGTTATGTTATGTACTTCTACGGTAATAGGTGGTCACATATATCACGAATTCTGCAAAGACGGAATATAGACTGGGAGGGTAGCAAGTGTAGAGGTGTTATACTCGAGTAAGTTTTACATCTTTAGGTTCGATTCTCTTCTACATCACATGATATAGGCACTCAAAGGACCAGATAAATCGAGATCTCTTTTGCTCACTCTGGCAAATAACCGACTACTGGTATAAGATAGCTGACACATACATACGGAGTGCAATGTCCAAAAAAGGTATGCAGGAGATAAAACGATCCCGCCAATAAAAGTCGCGACTCCATCAAGAGTAGCCCTGGACAAGAGGTTCATGTCTATCCTGGATCAACAGGCAATACGGAGTAAGCCGTGGAGCAAAGGATTACCACGTGCTCGTATCTCTGACCATGTGGACATGAAATGGCCCGTCGGTGGAACAATATAAACTGGATTCCATCTCATCTGCCTCCACAAGCATGGAGCTGTTCCGAATAGGCGGTAACTACTACAACAAGGTTATATTATCCCACGAGGGAGATGTACCTGTACTTGAACTCTTGATGAGGCGGTGACAGTAGTTCTTACGGGTATCCACCAAAGAATATTCCCCTGGCAAAAACCACAAAGGCCGAAGAATAGCGAGCGGAGAATTTCCCTTCCCTTGACAGAGCGAGCCGTGTTGTCACCCGTAGGTAATCGTACAGGTACTTTGACGATCCGTGCTACAGAGACGGCACTAGTATACGCTTTACCGGGAGTTCTGGTCCGTACGACACATAAATATATTAGGGACGGCCCGGTTATGGCGCTTCCGGAACTCCACTTGACCTATCGCTGCGGGCGTCGGTTTCGGCGCCGCGATGATGATAATGGCGGTGACAGTCTTAGACAAGCACTACAATAGCACGGAGTGCAAGCATCTATTGTGCTAGCAGACCGAGACAACTGGAAACGGAATGGTTGTTGCTAAACCCTTGCGGACAGGGATACGCGTTGGTGATGCTTGTTGCTGCAGGCGTAAGCAGGGGAGGGATTGATCCCGGACTGTGAGATGCTGGGGCTGGAAAAAGGCCTTGCTCGCTCATGGATACTCTGCAAGGGACTCCTGTACCTGGATATCCCATGTATCATATGCAGACGCAAGATGCAGAGACATGGCTTAGACACGAGGACATCTGCAAGATGACGCTTTCCAAGACCGCCAACAAACGTGGTATTATCCTTGCCCTCTCCGATCCTGCGTCATACCGCATCGATATGAGTTGCCTGGTCAGGTATGGAGAGCCGCGGCGGAGCGGCCGTGAACACAGCCAGCTTTGCTTTCGCAGCGAGAACCGAAGATTCGTGATGGGCACTGCGAGATTCTTCAAAGGCTAGCTCGGTTGAGCCCGACTTTGTTTTGAGCTTCCGAATCCGATTGGGATCCTGGCGAGAGATCGGCAGCAGAAATAGCCAGGCCGTGAGCATGAACGACTCAATACGACATCAGCAATAGGATAGGACTCATTGTTACACCGACCGCACACGTGGTGGTCTGTAATGATACTACAACTATGTGTCGGTCATATAATAAGCAGCGAGGCGTTGATAGCAGAGTCGCTTTCGGGAATAAGACTCTATTACGGTCATTAGAAAGAGCTGATTCCGTGTAGGTAACAACGCCTACTGTCATCCGGGCAGCTCAAGGCAACCAGCTTCTATCCGAAACAACTGGGAGCGCGGATTGGGATCGTAGAACACATCACTGGTTGGGTGCACTTACAGTCAGCTGTTCTTCAACTTACACCAGACAAACGAGGAATAGTTCCTGTCTCACTCCAAAACTTGTTAAACTAGCAAATAGTCGGCCCTTTGCCCATTAGCTCTGAAGCATCCAGTGTAGCTTCAAGAACCCGCCACATCCTCCCAGCCCGTAGGCTCCGCCTGTGGATAATCTACAAGCAGCACTTGGGACCCGAGCGTACATGTGAGTTCTGGACGAGTGCCGGTACCGGGGACCAAGTTTCGTACCCGAAAAAATTCTTATCCCGGACATCTCGGCCTCTGCCACGAATCCCCACACATTGCCCCTTTCCCCGGACTGTCTGTCACTTACAATGTCCCCGCCTCGGTGCGACTGTGACCATGGCCATGGTTACTCTCTTTCACTACACACGTGTGACCCTCAAAGCTAGGATGCTTGCAACTGCTCATCAAACAAACGTAGCATCGTCCTTCTCTTGGCCCCGTCTTACGTCCCCAAATCCGAAGGCCCAGGGCTCCTGTGCCCAAGCTTGAGCCCTACGAAATTGGGATTGCAACATGGTATTAGCGTGCCTTGTAGTTAATATCTATGGATGGAGAAGAGCCACTCAGTGGGGAGTAAATCCACAAGTACCAAGAGCCCGGTTCAGCAGCCATAACACGTTGGCGTTAAGTCATTGCGCTGTGTGCCGTATACAGCAGTGACCTTTACAAGGTGAATTGTGAACTGTAGAGTCAAGTTTAATGGCAGGTTATATGTAATGAAACTGATACTAATGAGAATAGTATATCGGCTGCTGATGAATCCTCAATGTCTGCCTATCCAGCTAGACTATAGACACTGGAAACCGTTGGCCCTTCTAGCAGACAGCCGTCTTGTCTCGCTTTCAATCATGTCCACACTATCATTCAGCCTAGCTGAATCACTTTACTCATCCTCCGTCGCGTTTTTACTGCCTCTTATCATTGACCAAATCTTCCACAAAAGGCGGGCAAAATAACCCAGTCGTGAATTCCTTGGATCTTCAAGACTGGAACGGATTTCCAACACGGTATTTCCCACACCCACGATGAAGCCCAGGTTGGCTGCCGCATCAACAACATCTGGCATATCGGCCATCGCTGCCACATAACCAATGACACCTCCAATAGTAGAGACCACAGAAAGATAGAGTGACAGGAACTCGCGAAATTGATCATTCCCCTTCTGTTGCTCAAGCTGACTTGGACCACTCTCCACCAAGGCCAAATTTTGCAAGGCATGGGGAAAGTCAAAGAACGACAAGGTGAGGTTATCAGGTTGGACAGAGCCCACCAAGCTGTTAATATTGAGAATTTGACCGATGTCATTATTCTGTACTCCAGGAGACTCTTCATCAAACTCTATATCGACGTACAGAGCCGGTTCTTCTTCCGCGTCGTCTGGCCCATATACAAATTGGGAGAAGTCTAGATAAATAGGTTTTCGCATATTATTACTATTACTAGCGGATTTATAATCGTTGCCGGTGGTGAACCCAAAGGAGACCATGGGCTCATTCATCATGAGACAGCTCGCTAAATCCAGATCGGAGTTTTCCGCCCCATCGAGTGAGAGAAACCTGTAACTAATGGCAGATTCGGAGGTATTCATTCTCAAAGCTTTCATGGTTGGTGACTCTTCAAAGTGATTGTGCGTGCTAGTATTATAGAGGAGCGGCTGTGATTTCCCATCGTAAAGTGCATTGGTAGCTGCCATGCTAGGGAGGAAAGAACCCCAGTTCATAACAAGCGTCATGATGCAGATAGAAAGAAGGACAAAGTAGTAAGAAAACATAAGCCAGGTAAATAGACCTGAGCGGGATGTATGGCTTGGGAAGGAGGGACAGTGATGATGGCCCGAGAAGTATTCAAGGAACAGTAAACGAGATGTTGTTGTTTTGGTTGATGTTTTGGTAAACAAGAAAAGAAATTTCCGTTTGATGCGGAAGGCGACGGTTGTTTTGTCTACAGATCAAAAACTCAATATCACCTATGGCGTTGGAAGGGCAACTGAACTTTAACTCTGGACGTTCCTCACACTTTTGTCCCTCCAGGATGTTATGTTATCGGATGAATAGATAGGATCAAAGTATAAGAGAGGATCAAAGTATAAGAAGGGCATTATCTTCCAGTAGCATGCGCCTTCAAGCAACTAGGTTTGTTCAACATCGTACATTCCCAAACATTTTCTTCAAGGGATGGGTATTTGAGTTTCTTGCTCTTGGCTATAAGTTCCTCAATTCCCCTTTCATCTTCTTTTCAACTTTCCGTCCTCCTTAAAGTTCCTTTTACACTCTACTTTTGAGACATACTCTTCAACACTCGCCTTCACCCAAGTTCAAGATGAGCTCACCATCCAATTCCCAGGTCCAGATGGTGCTAGACTTTCTTGTCGCCCTCTTTGATGCGTTTGAACAACATCGACAAGAGGTGCGAAGGTATCGTTTTATGCAACTGCGGTACCGTTATTAGCTGCGCCAGCTTGCGGTTGAGATGACAGCTAGGTTTGTCTACCATTTCCTATTGCTATGATTTCAGGGATTTGCCTATTTGTAGTCTGCGACCAAGTCAGACATCGGTACTCCAGCGACTGCTGCTAATATGTGTTGATTCCAGGGCCATGAATGAAGATCGTCAAGAACAAAATCGGCTCATGCAGTCCATTTTCGGCACCACTCAGCCTCTGGTTCCACTGGTTGATGTCAGAACCGGAGAAGACATTGAATCATTCCCAACTACCGTGGAGGAAATTTCTTCGCTTGATGGTAAGTAGTAATATTCTGTCCACCAGACCGGCTAGTAGCAACAGCATATGGGCCTAAATGCATCTTCTTTATAAAATGAACGAGTACTATTTCACACCTCTAGGCAATCAATCACGAAGAATCCTTGATGCAAACGACCGTGATACCAAATACCCCCTCGATCTCGCTGCCAAGGCGCCATGCTATGAGGAAGATAACGAGAAGGCGTATCGCATGGTTCAATCACTTCTACGCCATGGTGCAGATCCATATGCCATTTTTGCAGATCAATTGGAAGAGCCCCTAGATCCGGAATCGGAAGTACGCCTCTTGTTTCCCGGACAAGAGATTAGCCAGCCGCAAGATCTAATGGCAGTGGTCCATCACCGTGTGCAAAGAGATGAAAAGATGCTCAACGAGGACATTGATAGAGATATACCGCGGAAAGTCTTTGGCCTCTGAACCGTCATTCATTCTATTTTGGAAGACTCTGGGTATTTCAAGGCTTTTCTTGAGTCTCCTGAATTCATGAACAACTTAAAGCTCGAACACCGTAACCCTCAAGGCCGCACGCCTTTCCTATCAGCCCGTCGCAGCGCGAGGGGGGCAGATGCCTTGCTTGACAAGCCACAACGCTGGCATGACGGCGAGGATTCAAAACTGGACCGCATGGGCAAGCATCTCGTCACGTTTCCACCCAACATCTACTCAGAGACATCTCTAGAGGAGGCTCTACCTCGAACGGCAATCCAGGCGTTGCTGAAGCTGGGCGCGGATCCGTTGGTCACGGATAACCAAGGCAAACACGCCTTGCATCAGGTGCTAGATGCTCCTTCATGGGGTTTCCAGGAATCGCCCGTGAACCATTAGACGCTGCGCTATCTGATTGATCGATTTCCATCCCTAATCAACCAGCCCGATCACAATGGATTGACTGCGATCCACTCATCCATAAGGCGCATGTGGTCGCATGCGAACTATCCATATGAAGGGTTTTACCCTCTCGAGGAGCTTTTCGGCAAGTTTGACGACCTCGGCGTTGACTGGATGGTCCCGCGACAAGTTTGGGAGGACGCTGCTGCACGGCGTCGCCCGGACCGAAACTTGGGGGCGGTAGAGCACTTTGGAGGTGCAAGTATTTGATCCGGAAGGGCATCGACCCCTTGGCTCGTGATTTTGAGGGGAAGACGGCTCGGGATCTGGCTTCCGAGTATCGGTTTCGGAGGGTATCAGAGATTCTGGAGGAGGCACACGACAAAGCTTAGCTCTGCGCCTTGGGAAACCCAACAGTGGAGGGTGGTTTGGATCTGCCTTGATGTGTTTGAATCTGCTTGTGATTTACCAATACTTTACTTGGGGTTTACTAAAGGACTATTCATGATTTACGGGAACTTTGCTCATGCTATATTAGAACCCTTAGTACATTTGTTTTTTTGGAATCCTGCTTATGATTTGCTAACCTTCTACGGTTGTTGTTTACTAGAAGACTACTGGAAACAGTCTAAAGAATCCCTTTGATACTCGACAGTGCAGAGAGCAAAGCTAATTCGCTGATCTTATTTCAATCTAGCAACCATACCGAATTCACCCCATCATCCTGTCACTCAGTCAAGTTTCACATAAAAATAAAAATAAAAATAAAAACTTCCCATATAGGGTAGCTCCCAGCCAGCCCGGCGGAAAAGAAACCAAGAGAATCAAAAAAGCACATGATGCCGCGGATACAAACATCCAAGCCTGGTACAAGACGCGGACCCCCTTGGCGGGCATGAGCCAGCAACAAAGATTCCAAGAGAAATCAAGGGAGAGAGCTGAGCTGAGCTCGAAATAAATCCATGTCTCTTGCATATGCAGCCACCAAGGCCGCGACATGTCCTGCATGCATGGAAATCCCACGAGCGGGACGGAACCCGGTTTCTCGCGACGAAAAGGAACAATGAAGAAGAATTTTTTTTTTTGCAATAGAATAAATAAATACTAGGTAAGCATAGCCAACGTGTTACCAATCCTTGACGAATCCTTCTCGAAACACTCGACAAGGACGGCATGCCGCATATTGGTACAACATTTTGCTTCAATCTGCTGATCTGGAAACGGGAGGGGGCCTGGGCTTGTGTTGGGGGGGGGGGGGGGGGGGGGGGGGGGGGGGGGGGGGGGGGGGGGGGGGGGGGGGG